TCATTGTCTTGTTATTTTCCCTTTGTGCCATGTCATCATATTAACACACATAGATTTATTTTTCTTCTTCTCATGGGCTGTTGTGTTCTCTCTCTGCATAAACGAGCAACATTGCCTGCTCCATCCTCGGGCCCTCAGCTGCTGATGCTGTCATGGGAGTTCAGGAAAGGACCCAATAGCAACCACAAGACAGGAATCAGGTAACAGACTGTATTTTGGACAGTGGACTAGTTCGAATAGGCTCATCCAAACTGGCAGGTGTGCGCTCCACACCGGGTTGCGTGGGTTCGGCAGTGTGGCCCCGTGGACCGACACTGGACGGATGGCAGGATCAACGGTGTGGTTTTCCGTGGACCGACACAGGACGGCTGGACACGGGATCTCTGAGGAACCCCGTGGGCTCAGGTTGGTAACCACACAACACAACCTGGCACACTAGTAGGACCTAGACAATGTGGCAGAGAGAAGCGAGAGGTCAGAACCGGGGATCGTAAGAACGGAAACTTATGGACAGAGGTAACGGAGTACCAGGGTGAGTAGACGGTACGGACTGAAGACCCAGGACAGCGGGACCAGGGTTGATATACTGCCAAGAGGTGACTAGTGGGATCAGGATCCGGTGTGTCAACCTGCAGGCGGTAATCAGCTGGATTTTCTGCAGCTGTGCACCAATCAGGGGTGTGGCCATGGGAGGTGTCTGGAGGCAGGCAGAGGAAAAACACTGATCACATGGCAGACAATAAACAGGTGAACGACAGAACACACGAGGAGAGATCGGGTCAGACGCCACAGCAGTTTCTGTTGAAACTACGTTAGGATTATATTGTAATTTTTAAGCTGTAGTGTGTGGTGCTGTTATATTGTGCATCAGTGTGTGGACACTTTGTGAGATACTTTTCAGGCATGAAAGTAGATCTTATTTTGAAAATGTCCTTGTGGGACGCTACGCTACGCTAACATGCAAACGCTAACATGCAAACTCCTCACAGAAGGGCCGTGCAGCCCGGGGATCGAATCGGGGTCCCTCTTGTCGTGAGGCCAGTATGGACTAGAAACAAAGATGCCATAATCTAAATATTCTTCATTTCTGCAGGACACACAGGAGGGCGGAGCTTCAAATGTAGGCCACACCCACAGCTGTTCAGCCGTCTCTGTGGTGCAATTGGTTATATTATTCAAAATAATAAATATACTTATTTAGGCTTACAGTATATGAGCAATTGTCATCAAATGGCAATAATAAGACTATTAGGCAGTAGTCTACAGATCCAAAGTGTTTTCTTAGATTTTTTTGAACAAAAAACAAACAAATCAGACAATCATATTCAATTTTATTCTTAATTCTTTGTGGTTATTTATTGTTATTATTACATTTTTTAAACAACTATTAACAATTATTAAGTCAACGATGCCTTGATTAGATATACATCAGTCATTGTATGGAATTATTGAGAAAGATATTTTTGTAGCGCCTCAAATATTGTGATATTACCCATTTTGTCCTGAACATATATGCATTAGTCATGATGTGGAATTTTTGAGAAAAACATTTTATAGCACCTTAAAAAATGTGCCATTTGAAGGTACAAATTCAGTTTTTTGCTTAGTAAAATCTTAATTGACTGTCAGTCAGGTATTATTCATTTCCAGCAACCCTCAAATCAAAGAATAAAGACACTTTACGCACAATTTAGGTGTATTTTCCCTTTAACTCACGAGATGCAGGTAGCATGTTTTATACTTAAAGTGAATATAATTAATTTAATCCAATTTCCATTATGCAATATGTATACTTTGTTGGCATCTTATTCTGAAAACCGGATGTTCGTCTGAAGAAACCGGATGTTGTCTCACGTTATTCTTTCCGCTAACTTTCAAAGTCCTTCGCTCGCTCCCGATCTGTGCTGTTTGAATGCGTTTACCGTGAATTTCATTATATAGGTGCACTAAAATTTAAGTGTCTGCTGAGTTGACCGCAGTCTCAGGTCTGATTAAGAAGCGCTCCATTTATTTATTTTGTTTGTTTAGAACGTTCGGTTCTTCACGCACACGCAACATCAGTCAAGGCGAAAATCAAAAACATCATATGGCAACTGGACCGGGTCATATAGGCTACGATGTTTTTGACAAGTTAATTAAATTATCATTATTATTATTAGAGGTAATTATGCATTTTTTGCCCCTCTCCTAGTGATATCAGGGGCAAAATTATATTTCTTCGGGGCAGTTGTGTCCTTTGCCCTCGTGTATTTCCGACGCTGATTTATCCTCATTTTGACATGACGAAGTACAGGTAAAATACATTAAATTATCTTAAACAAAATCACATCAAGAATCAAATCACTACTATCACATTACTATGTTTAATCAACATATTTGGTGTAGCTTGGTATAAAACCGTACTAGCTAGTTTCCAATGGGCTCAGTTACTGTGGCGCAGGTGAAGAAGACACGTGAAGAAGACGCTATTACAAATGGCGGCGCTGGCCCAACAGGATAGCGAACCGCTAACACGTGCTAACCAACATGCATAACACTTATATACATGTTTCAGTCATATTTAATGAACACATTTATCATGAAACGACTTATTAGAACATAAAGAGTTGATTGGCTTCTTTATGAACAAATAATACGATGTGTAGGAGCCAGACAAAAACTAGGGAATGTACTGCGAGGCTACTATCAGTTTAGCTAACGTTAGCACTCGACAGTCTTAAAACACTCACGTAGCTACGAAACAACTACATGAAACACAAAATAATCTATAAAAATGTTCAGTACACATTGGTCCCTAATTCTTACATCATATTTGGTGCACTTTACAAGTCACTAACCTGAGAAACACAGGAAACGATGAGCAGGCAAACGTGTGGCTTCTCTCATGTAACGTCTCGAGCTATGAGAAGAAGTTGCACGCGCACATACAAGTCCAGGGTCGCGAGTCGAAACCACAGCGCTGCACTGCCACCTACTGGTCATCCCCAACACCTCATTTTGATATTCTAACATCACACCAGTGTCTACTAGCCTCCACTAGTTTCTCTACACAAACAAACTGAGCTCCTTTCATACACCTTCTCACTCTAATAAGCGCAGAGTAGACATACCATCTACAGGTAAGTATATCGATAATATATGTACAACAAATATTTACATGATTTCACCAACCCAAAGACATGAATAATAATGTACAAGTATTTACAATCCCTATAAATAAAGTAAATTATAAAACAATGTATCTAAATAAACAGAACACATATATCTTTACCCCCCGCCCGTATGAATATGCATGACATGGCACAAAGGGAAAATAACAAGACAATAAAAGTTCCTCACCGTCAGATTGCCTAAGGCCATGGAGGGCTCATAAACATCAATCCTGCCCAGGTCGGGATTTGAACCTCCTGTGGACGATTCTTCTTCCTCCTCATATGCACACAAATGTATTTTTCTTCTGTAAGAATATAAATACGGTATATAAGGACCTTAAAACACCACAGGAGTCTAACTGGGTGGCACTGAAGAGTGTTTTCTCCTCTTTTTTCTTTTTTCCCATTCTCCCCCCTTCTCCTCTTTTTTCTTTTTTCTCTTTTCCCATTCTCCCCCCTTCTCCTTTTCCCCTTTAACAGACTATTGTTCCACAGCCACAATGAAGAGATGGGAAGGAGCTGATTGGCTGGTCTGAAATCCAATGTTACCATGATGGCCAGGGGCAGCAAACACACGTAGTTTGTAATTTCTTAAAAGTAAAGCAATTTAAAGAGTGAAAGTATGTTTCAACAGTCATTTATAATGTATAATATTTGTTTATTTCTTTAATTTCGCTTTCCTTAAATTGATCGCTGGAGCAGGCACGTTTGAAAACGCGCAACTTTTACTTTGAAAGCGAACCGTCTCTGTTTACAGCTCTGGACTTCCTTTACTCAATTTTCATGATTAAAGTTGGATAAAGTAACAAGCTGATGTTTTTGGTACGCTGAATTATATTGCACGTGTTCATGAATGACAGATAGTCAATCCAGCTGTGAGATCCATCTTTTATAAATCATCTTTCTATAATTTGTAAAGTGCAGAAGAGATGTTTTTCACTTTTATATTTGTGTGTTGGGTCAAGTAATTAAAATACATTTTGTAAACATGTCATCACGGTGTTAATAGTTTGCTGTACAGAGACAAAGAGTGTTTTTTATGTGGTAACGTTTTGAGAAGCTAGTTAAGAAGAAAATAATTCACGGACCGTCCAATCATGATATTGACTGTCCAATGTTGAATTGGATGTAGGCCAATCATCGTCAAAAAAACGAAAACGTCACGTCCCTGGGTGGGCTTGAACCACCAACCTTTCGGTTAACAGCCGAACGCGCTAACCAATTGCGCCACAGAGACGACGATACACCTATTAGTATGCAGTTTCAAATTAAAGCCCCGCCCACCTGTGTCCATGATTGATCATTTAGATTATACTATCTTAGATGTAGTGTTTTAAGTGCAGTCAACTACAAATGAACATATTGTTACTCACTACAATCTCGCAAGCAAACATTAAGCCCCAATGATGTCACACTTGTGTTCCTGGTTTGTCTACCTTTTACCACTGATAACGGATATAAAGTTACGTGTTGCATGTAAAACCTAGCAGCTGCAGAGCTAAACCGCCCTGGTCTCTTGACTACAGTGGTTTTATGGATACATAATTCCTCAAAATATAACACAGGCATAAATCGGTATCGTAGTTCATTTAATTGTAGATCTACATACCATGTTTATAGTTTGCTGTTCTTAATTATATAATTTGGTCTCGTTTGGTTTCTCGTGCTGTTGAATTCTATCAGCTATTAACAGATTCCTAAATGTATTTGTTTTTAAAACCTGCGAAACAGTTCTTAACTTGTAGAATTTAATGGCATGCATTTTTTGAAAGTTTCATTTTTACTTGAAACAAGGACATACTGCTACTGATGATGTATCCTGTTCATCCTGCCACATTTATACTTTTGCTCCTGGTTTCTGTAACCTTCATCCGTGGAAACTAGCTCATATAATCACATTAAGTTGACAATAAGTGTCTTTGCACAACTTGGAAAGGTTCTCACTATTTGAGCAGCCACAGTAGCTGATGTGAGAGGCTACTAAATCAGAGTCAGGGTGTTTACTGCATCACCGTACAAGACATATTTGTGATTTTGGGGCAATATAATTACAGTGAACATGACTTACCTTTTGTAATGACTGAACGTTTGGTCTACCTGCCTCTCACATGGAAAACTTTATTTTTTTTAAATAACCACGTCTCAAATATGACCTAGAATATTCAATAACCACAGGAAACAGATATTTTAATCACATTTTATCATGTATGGTCTTAAGTGGAGAGAAAGAGCCAGTAATGCAGCTGTATACAGAGTTCAAATCTTTTAAAGGAGACAAACTTAAAAAAAAAAAAAAAAAAAAGAGAAAATTTCACTCAGCTTTACAATACCTTTTAGAAAATAAGCAATCTAAAATGACAACAACAACAATCATAGTAGCAGTCAACAGAATAGTCTCACCACTGAAAGCAGAGGATGATAGTTAGTCTGAATTATATTATACTCCTTATACACACACAATTCTCATTTACATACTTCAGTGACAGGTGATATTTTGTAAAAATATCACCTGTCACTTCAGTTTTGTTTTTCCAGGAAAAGAACTGCTGCAAAACAGTTATCCTTAAAATAACCTGCCTTCAACTGGTCGACGCTATCGATTTCATAAACTCAAAGCACACTTTATACCCCTACACGCCGACAGCGTGACCAAACAATAATCTATCTTCATTGTCAATTAGAGCTGATTTGAACTCACATGCTACACATGCCTTTCTTCCCTTAACCCCGGGGCGACTATATTCACGGCCTATAGTTCTAACATTTTTTGTTATTGGTTCTCAGTTTTTTTTCAGTAAAGTATGATGTATAAATACGACACTAGAAAAATAACTGGCCACGAGACCACCGTGTCGCTACCGAAAATAATAAGTGGAGGCAAATACAATTCAGACTGCAGAATAATAAAGACGTAGAGGGAGGGGGAGAGGGGTAATGTAGAGGTGGTGAAAGCGCATTTGACATATTCACTCTGAGAACTCTAGGCTGCTCAGCTGGATTTAATATTTAAATGAATGAACGGTGGAGGTCTCAGAAAGGTGGGTAGTGGTTGGTGGGATGGGGGACGGTAGCGGGATCAGATTTCCCTTTGGCTGCTCCCGTACACGCTCTCATCACTGTAGGCAATGTAGAGGAAAAAGTCCTCTTCATGGTGCTCCTGGGTGAGAGAGTAAGAAGAAAAGATGTTAGCATGACACTAACGATGTAACTTTAATGTAAGTAGGGGGTGAAAAAACAACACAATGTAGTGATGAGAGCAGGCCAGTGAGGTAGAATATGACTCTTGCCTGGTACAACAGTCCCATGGTTGCTGAGGTGGGTGGAATGACGTTGTTTACAAAGAAGAAGAGGGCGTCCTCCGCTCGCAAGTGGATTCTTTTCCGGATGAGGAAGTAAAACTGGCCCACTGATGAATGACAATTGACAGAACTTTAGATGTTACTGCACTCTCGTTGTTGTAATTTTCCCCCCCAGGAATCAAATATTTACCTGTCAGGTCGGAGGGGACAAGATATTTCTTCTTGTCCAGATCTCCTATTCTGGCTTTGGGGGCTTTCTCCACAATTACCTGAAGAGAAAACAAAAACAAGAACCATCTAGTACATTTCACACTGAACAAAAGGCTGTGTGTATCAAGTGAGAAGTACTTCAATAGACTTTCACCTTTCTAAGAAAAGGGATCTGAGAATACACAACTTTTATCAGTCAAGCGAGGACTGAACTGTTTTTAAACCAGATGTTGTGTTTCATCAACAGTATCTGGAGCCTGGTATTTTGTAATTAGTCAGTTAGAAAGACACGCGTATGTATATATTTATTTAAAGTAACTCGGACCCAGAACGTTGCCACACAGGACTGACTAGAGCACTTCCACTTTCTTCAGTCTAAAAATAGGACTAGTACCTGAATACTACCTGCCTTCGCTCATAAACCTAAGACAGCAAAATTAATATATTTGGGTTTTGGATTATTGGTTTTAGACTATAGATCAGTGACTTGTGATGAGGCTGCTTTGTACCATTTCCAGATATTGTATACACCAAATTAGTGACAGATTAATTGAGAAATAATTGTAAGATTAGTTAAGTTAATTGGAGCAATACATCAAGTGTTTAACAAACTATGACTGATAACAGGAGTAAAAATGAAACTAGATTGCTCTCGTAAAGACAAATAAAGCTATCTTACATTAGCTCACTGCGCATTGACCTGCTACCAGGTTTCACTCGGTCAATCTTGAACGGCAAAAATGCAAAATAGCTGCGGACTATATAATGCATCTTAAACAGCCAGGGAAGCGTAAACAAGTGTCCCGTTTGTTGACACGTACTATTTTAAGGTGCAGCCTAAAGCTACACCCAGACCATATTCACTCTGTACACACACAGGACTGTCTTTGTAATAGCCACCACGGTCTTTAAACACCGTGTGACGTTATATTACCTTATATCTTTACTACTATGTAGTATGATCTTATATTAAACACACACGGAAGGATTACAGGAAGCTATATCACCTGACGGCCTGCTCGGAGCGGCCGACATTATTTCTAGGTTAACCTCTACGGTTAGCTTTGTTAGCTAACGTGGCAGCGAACTATCGGGAAGTATAATAATAATAATAATAATGTAGTTACAACCGAGACACATGATTATAGATGGATGTAATGCGGGTACACGAAGTGTCATTGACAACTAGCTAAACGGCACGAGCGTTGCCACATAGGTGAGCTAAGCTAACGTTAGCTACTCACAGGCACCCTGTCCGGATACTTCTTCCTTATTTTCTCGCCTTCGGACCGCCTTTTCTCAAAAGGGTGCTCTTCTTTGTACTGGAACTTCATCTTTGAAAAAGAGATGACAGACAACACGTCAGTCACTCTGAGGTTGGTTGGGTAGCAATCTGCTCACGGAACTGCTTCAAATCGCTGTCACACACGACAAAAACAAAACGATGCTAACTAGCTTTTTAGCACGCCACAGCTGTTTTCCTAGTGCGACTGCGGAGGAGGGATACAATAACAACATGACGCTGCAGAGTCTAGTCCGCAGGATAGACTTCGCTCTATGCCAGACCACGTTAACGTCAAGTTCCGACAATCGGTTTTTATTCAAATGAAATGTATTCCTTTGAAATTAATCATTTTCAAGTGGTTCTAAAATGTATGATGCAATGTTTTCGGAGGAACTATTTTTATGTTGAGCAACCGCTGCGCGTAAAGACACAGGGCAGGGCAGTGAAGAGGCAGCTGTCCTTGTCATATGACCGCGGCCCAGCAGTTAGCAGCTCGAGACGAGAAACTCAAAAACATCCGATAATAAACCGTAATTTGGACCCAATATTAAACTGAGCTCTAAAAAAAATCTGGGTCCAAAGACATCCAGTATGTCCGCGGCAAAGTAGCGAATATTGAGCATTAATGTCTTTATTTAAGCTCAGAATGACTAAATTGGATCGAAGTTTCGCAATTTCCGCTGTTGCCACATCAGGCACATCATAACAAGCATTATACAAACAGTTAACCCGATTTATGGAAGAATTATGGGGGAAATCAAATGTAAAATCAAAGGGGTTCATGTTCTAGTTATTTTATAAAGGTTTATTGGTGTGGAATGAAGGTGAATGCTGCATGGTTTTAGGGAAACTACTAGGCCCCAATAGTTTGGGGAATTTACGAGGAACTGCTCAGTGACCAGCCAGTGTAGTCTGCAATATGTCAGAGTCCCAGTTTGCCATTCATATGTCCATGTCTTGAAACACTCCAACCAGTATATTGTGCTCGTGACTCAGCTGTATGACTCACTCATTACTCTCCACCCTCTGTGCTTTGATATGCAGACTGCATACATCTGAAAAGTCCTTCATGTGTTACAGACTTCTCTTTAACAATGGAAACAAACTGGGAAACAACCCTTTCTTTCAAACCACAATGTTAACTCATAATTATAGGTGACCATGTTAAAGTTTTTTTTCCCCAGTATGGTTCAAAATACAGATTTTAGAATACCGATAGTTACCGACAGCAGCTTCAGGTTATCGTGCAAACGGTAGAGTACAACTTTGAGTCATACTACGGGGCTTATTGTGGGACTTTAAAGGTATGACAGACCTACATCATAAATGGCAAAAGTCCATTTTTGATGATGGGAGTAGCCTATAAAATAAAAGTCAATTTCGTTGACTGCCTCTTTTTGTCTCTTCAGAGTTCCTCGTAACAGAGGAGCACAGAGACCTCAGTATCTTGCTCCCTGCCATATGATTTCCCCCACAAAAGCTCTTCGTCGTCGGTGACAAATCCCAAGTAAAGCCTACATCTTCCCCTGCAAACTATTATGTTATCCTAACAACAAAGTCTCCCATCACTCAGCAGCTACAGCTCAGCCGTGCCTCAGAGTCTGGTCAGTTCCTGGTCCAAGTTACAGACATCTCTCCGTATCTCCACCTGTGTGTATACTAGCAGACTGTACTGTGCATCCAAGAAGCATCCGCCATCCCTCTCCATTGCACCTCCAGCTTTGGGGAAGGTGAAAGAAGAGAGAGAGAAAGTCTTTGCTTACCCAGGAATGGTTGACAAAAGTAACAGGTGGTGACATTTAACAAGGTGGTTGGTTTTCCTACAGGAGGAAAATTACTTTAAACAAGAGATGCACATTCACCGTTTCAAACTTTCGGTTTTACTTTAATACCATTATCAGGAGGAGGTAGAGTGAAAAACAGCTATTATGTACCAATATACACTCGGCCCACCCGTAGTACAGATGCCTTCCTTCATGACGGTGATGTAGCTTGTGGTGCTGTTGAATTTTATTGCATTATAAAGACTTATTATAAAGAATTATGTCCTCATTGATTTAAAGGAGGTGGACAAAGCATCACTTTGTCAGTATAATGCAAAACAACCCAAGAGCACCAACGACTTCAACCCCCAAAATAATAAACAGTTGAGTCAACGCCTCTCTTATTATAACCGTGAGCCATGAAGGTACCATTTATCACATGAATACATGTTGCATTTGGTCTTATTGAGCTACTAAGTGTCATATATGACACACTAGCTCTTCAACAAGCACACAAGTTGTCCGTTGCCTTTATTTGAAAGCAAGAACCTGAACCAACATTAAACAGTTTCTTTCTCTAGCGAGGTAGGAGTTCTGAGTGGACGAATGCAGTTTTCTGTCACACCACATGATGGCAGCAGATTGTTAGAAAAAACAAACTGCCTCGAGCAGACGCTGTGGGAATTCCCTAAAGCTTTTTCTCACCTCAGTGAAAGGTGTTCAGTCGACACGCTGCAGAATGTTATCCCTCGAGTACGGAAAAGACTGCAGAATGAATTCTAAAAAACAACAAGAAGCTGGATAATAACGGTCCGATACTGACAAGTGTTTTATTAGTAACACAGACCTGGAGACAGAGCCAATAAGAAGCCGGTGAGAGCCTTGACAACAAGACATTGTTCAGAAGGCATTTAAAGACGGAAGGTCTAATAGTTGAACCCATACAGGAAGCGGAGCGGGTCAAAACTCAAAGAGGAAGGCTGCAAATTTGAATCAAATACAAAACCAACTGCAACAAAAAATGGAAAGGGGGGGAGAAAAAAAAATCAAGTGCAATTCCTATTGGATGAAATCAGGATGGCATCAGATGGCAAGGGGGGGGGGGGCAAAATGTCGTGATTTGAAGAAGTCATATTATCACATATAAGAGAGAAACAATCAGATATGGAAAGGCGGCACGGCAGTCCACATATCGTTACGAGCCGGTCCTTTTCTCAGTCAAGTCTTTATCACAGAGTTCCACGTGGAGCTTTCGTAGAAAGAGTGACCGTTACGGCTGAAAAAACAAACAAAAAAAAAAAAAAGATCTCAGGCTGCTCGGCTATTTGTCCAGAAAAATGCCTGTGGATGGTATGTTGCAAGCAAAAGTCCATCGGTTATACCGTTTGAGTTGATCCAGTCTTGTTTAGGGAAAACAAACATACCTCAGCAATCAATTAGTTATCGTTGAGGTTGATCTAAAAAGGGGCGGTGTTTCTATTTTCCCCGGCTCAGTCGCACTGAGCGGTTAAGACAGTAAATTGATAAATTGTCTGCTTAAGTGCAACGTCTGATGATGATGATGGAGAAGAAGGAGAAATAATAATGTAGAATTGTCTTTGTCGCTTTGCTGATCCTCCTCTCCCCCCCTCCCGTCCCGATTCTCAAAAAAGTTTAAAAAGGACTAACGTACTTGGCAAGCATACTCCGACTCTCGTACACAAGCTCACCTCCATACGCACACAGTCAGTATCAGGAGCAATAAGGCAGAGAGGCTCCGGTTTGTTTTGAAAAAAAAAAAAAAAATACAAATGAAGAATCAAGAAAAAAAAAAAGAAACAAGCTGCTGCTGCCCCCCCCTCAGTAGTTTCTGGGCTCTGGTGACCCCAATACTCTTCATCACGTGTGAGGCTGTCACCCCAACCCTCATCTCCTCAGGACATGTCTGAGAGGCTCAGAGAGGGCTGGTGGGTCCGCCTGTGTGGGAACGGAGGGCAGGATGGAGGCCGGCAGAGAGGAAGAGGCTGGTCAACAAGCCCCGCCCCTCCCGATTCAGCCAATCACCAGAGTCGATGCTGGTGGAGGTTTCGACTGAGGACGGAGCGAACATCAGCGGTGAATCTAGGAGACGGAGAGAGGCTGTGAAACTACTCGACATGGAATGTTTCACTATCTGAGCCATTAAAGGGACAGCGCAACATTTGGGAAACGCAGACAACGGTTAATTTATGCGTTTAGCTGCACCGTCTCTCAGACCTTAGATAGGATGGCTAGACAGACGGGTAAGGTTTAAGGTTAAATAGATAAAACCATTAATCAGACATGCATTACACCGTATAAATGGGTATTTGACAGGAGTTTAAGACTATAATAATGTGGTCATTAATAGCCATTAGCTTACCTCTTGAGTTACACCACGGATCAGTAGAATACAGACAGTATGCACAAGAGATAAAGTGTTTGCATCATCTATTTGCTTTCATGCCAACCCTATTATGCCTGTTTACCTTAGTGCATCCAGCATAGGCAGCAAGTTAAGAAGTGCTGTGTCACTAGGGTCGCTGAACCAGGACTTGATAGGTATTGCATTGTCTGGAGGGCAGAACAAAAAAAAAAAAAAAGAAGCCGGTCAGTCGTATCAGTGAAGAGGACATATTTGTGATTTTATGCTGCTCTGTTAAAGAGGATACCACGTGTTAAGAGGAACTGCAGCTTTAATGTGCCGTTACAACATTTACAATACAAGCCTTGTACTGAGAATTAACTGCTTGGCTATATGGTCGCTTCCTGCGCCATCACGAGGTTGACGTGTAAAGGATGAACGTACAAAGAATTACAGCAGTTAAATGTACACAAACCTAAACTTGAAGTCTTACCTGGATGGCTACGATAAGCACCAGGCGAGTTGTCCAGGATGACAATACTGGACAGGTCATCGTGTACTACAGACAGGTCTTTAATATAACTACCTAGATCCAATGTACAATGCTGTGGAGAAAAAACACAAAAGACACCATCAAAAATGAGACGGAATGAAGAGACTTCATAAGGTCGATGAGCCCAAAAGTCAGCTTTAATACATGCTGTTTAATTAGAGTGTAGAGCAGCACCTGTCTGTAGTATCTGCGTTTCAGGATGTTCCTATTGTTGTCCAGCTTATCTGCCACTGCTGAGCCGTAGATCTCCATACTGGCTGTGAAAACCACCAGCTCATACCACTGGCTCACCTGTGTACACACGCAGGGTAAAGAGCACACAACAGCATACATTTAAAGGTTACAGCAAGTGACATGGGATCATTATCCAAAACAAATAAGAGGTGGTATTGTTCCCTTCCATCATCTTTTGGATCCAAACACAGAAAAAGCAACAATCACAGGTGGACACTCACCACTTCTAAAAAGAAGTCGACATGCGGCCTTTTATGTACGAAGAATCTGACTGGATGCTTGTCAATGACGACCTGCGTGGAGAAAGACAGACGGACGGTGTTTAGGCTTGAATGCATGTGTGTTCAAACGTGTGCACGTGTGGCTGAACGCTTCATACTTTGAGGATGAAGTCTGGCGGCGTGCCAGGTCTCACTGTGGGTCTGAGGACGCCGTCGTGGTGAGAGTGGATCAGCGTCTCGTCCAGGTCCAGAACCAGAATCTTCCTCTTTACTGCATCTGGAGTTTATCACACGAGATAGAGACTTGAGCTGCTCCCTCTCAGTACATTACATTGGAGATGCACGCTTCACGTCAGTTTTGATCCAATAAGAAATGTAATTAAAATGTTAGTATTGTCTGATGCAGTTTGAATTAAGTAACTAAAAACGAAGACACTAAGTGTGCATTTTTTGGGAGGCCTCAAGGACTTCCAGGAGGTGTGGATCCTAAAAACCTTTCTCCCTGATGACGGTATTCTGTTCGGTACGCGAGAGCAATGAGACAGATTTTCCCTTGAATTATCTCGACTCTGGCGACCGGTAATAATCTATTTAACGCCACCATAGTTTCATAATGAACCGAAAATATTTAGACACTTCTCAATCAGCGGCATCTCTCCGTGCGCATTAGCAGCAGCGGCCATGCCATCTACAGCTAAAGGAATCACTCGTTCACTTGAAACCGGACCTGGATCTCCAGCTGAGGTCACTGTAGTGAGTGAGAGGTGAGGAAAGTGAAACTGAATTGCAATCCTTCCTCCAAGTCAAGACAGTGCTTCTGAATGAGGTCTCTACAGGGAGCAGAGGAGATCATTCAAACACAGCAGTCCATGCTAGTTTAAGTGCTGCCTTTAACATTTTCTATTTCCTCTCAATACCACAAATACATTTTGTCAGACAAGGAAGTCAAATTTATTTCCTTTTTTTTTGGGTCGCCACATGTGTTGGGTGGATCCTGACATTATAACCTGCTACCATTACTCACTGCTTCACTCAAATGCTCTTTTAAGACAATAGCTGTTTACACAGCAAACGTCTTGCAAACGATTTAAATGCTAAACTGATCTTTGTTGGCGAGCTATTAAAAAAAAGCAGAGACCACACAATTACTGACCGATGCAGCAGAGCAGGTCTACTGAAACAATGCAGGCCAACTGTGGTTTGCATCCAGCCATCTGATCCACAAGACACACAGAGCATCCGGAAAGTATTCACAGCGCTTCACTTTTTCCACATTTTGTTATGTTACAGCCTTATTCCAAAATGGATTAAATTCATTATTTGCCTCAACATTCTACACACAACAACCCATAATGACAAAGTGAAAACTGTTTTTTGCAAATTTTTGTAAATCTATTAAAAATAAAGAATGAAAACATAACATGTACACAAGTATTCACAGCCTTTGCTCAATACTTTGTTGAAGCACCTTTGGCAGCAATTACAGCCTCAAGTCTTCTTGGGTATGATTTCACAAGCTTGGCACACCTATTTCTGGGCAGCTTCTCATTCTTCTTTGCAGAACCTCTCAAGTTCCATCAGGTTGGATGGGGAGTGTCAGTGCACAGCCATTTTCAGATCTCTCCAGAGATGTTCAATCGGGTTCAAGTCAGGGCTCTGGCTGGGCCACTCAAGGACATTCACAGAGTTGTCCCGAAGCCACTCCTTTGTTATCTAGGCTGTGTGCTTCGGGTCGTTGTCCTGTTGGAATATGAACCGTCGCCCCAGTCTGAGGTCCAGAGCGCTCTGGAGCATGTTTTCATCGAGGATGTCTCTGTACATTGCTGCATTCATCTTTCCCTCAATCCTGACTAGTCTCCCAGTTCCTCCCGCTGAAAAACATCCCCACAGCATGATGCTGCCACCACCATGCTTCACTGTAGGGATGGTATTGGCCAGGTGATGAGCAGTGCCTGGTTTCCTCCAGACATGACGCTTGGCATTCAGGCCAAAGAGTTCAATCTTTGTTTCATCAGACCAGAGAATTTTGTTTCTCATGGTCAGAGTCCTTCAGGTGCCTTTTTGCAAACTCCAGGCGGGCTGTCATGTGCTTTTTACTGAGGAGTGGCTTCCGTCTGGCCACGCTACCAAACAGGCCTGATTTGTGGAGTGCTGCAGAGATGGTTGTCCTTCTGGAAGGTTCTCCTCTCTTCATAGAACAACACTGGAGCTCTGTCAGAGTGACCATTGGGTTCCTGGTCACCTCCCTGACTAAGGCCCTTCTCCCCCAATCGCTCAGTCTGGCTGGGCGGCCAACTCTAGGAAGAGTCCTGGTGGTTCCAAACTTCGTCTATTTCCGGATGATGGAGGCCACTGTGCTCATTGGGACTTTCAATGCTGCAGAAATTTTTCTGTACCCTTCGCCAGATCTGTGCCTCGATACAATTCTGTCTCGGAGGTCTACAGATAATTCCTTGGACTTCATGGTTTGGTTTATGCTCTCATATGCACTGTCAACTGTGGTACCTTATATAGACAGGTGTGTGCCTTTCTAAATCATGTCCAATCAACTGAATTTAGCACAAGTGGACTCCAATCAAGTTGTAGAAACATCTCAAGGATGATCAGTGGAAACAGGATGCACCTGAGCTAAATTTTGAGTGTCATGGCAAAGGCTGTGAATACTTATGTACATGTTATGTTTTCGTTCTTTGAATTTAATCCATTTTGGAATAAGGCTGTAACATAACAAAATGTGGAAAAAGTGAAGCGTTGTGAATAATTTCCGGATGCACTGTATATTCAGCTGTGACCCACAGTCATGACACACACACACAAATGACAGCTGACAGCTCGTCTGAGTCTCCTCATATGAAGAAGGAATATTATATGAGTCCTGTCCAGAAACACTGATAATGTGCATGTACTCCGAGAACGAGGTCAAGCACGAGTATGTTGACGTTATGTCGCTGATAACTTATTTTCTGCACAATAACTTCTTCCTTGACAGACTGGTTTTACCTGTACTTAAATTACCACATTTCACATGTTGGTGATAGTGTCTCACCCTTGTAATGCTACCACAAGAAAAAACAAATGTGTCCAGGTATAAGCAGTGTTTGTTATACTTTTGCAAAAATGTTGACGGTCATATCGTGTACTCACTGAGTCTGTTTCTGGAGATAGGCGACAGAGGCAAAGTGTCGTATCGCACCGTCTGATACTGGATTATCTGTAGAACAACAAGACACATGAAACAGTCAGTCAAACTTTAACAGATCACTTGTTATAACATCACACCATATGCAATATAGTGAGCCAGAATCAGTTGACTGAACCATGGATAGATTTCCAATTTGTATGTGTAGTTTTTTTACTACCCTTTTGATACCAAGTGCACTGACGGCGCCGATCTTTTCATTTCCTCCTGCACACTTAAAGTGTTTGACGTGATTTTACAGCAAAGATTAGTATTAAGTGTTTTGGGAATCCTTTTGTGAATAAAGATTTGACATCAACTGCTGCTATGCATAATGGAATTTGAAAAAAAAGCATCACGATTGCAACTTATCTCCCTGAAGTTCTTAAAAACCTTTGAATCCTAGAACTTTTATTTTTGCCTTCAGGCGATACTTATTTGGGAAATCGGCACTCTTATTTTGCTGTACATCAGAGGTAAGGCCAGAGAACAGAGGGGGGACACCATATTGAAATGAACTCGGCTGTGTCCACCCCATGACTCCTCCTTTGTGACTTCCTTACTCTGCACTGGTCACGATGACTAGACAGGACCCTTCCTAGTGCCACTCTTGCCCTCGGGCCTGTGCACTTTTCTTCACAGGGCTATTTTTATCCCCCCAGCTGTCAGTGGGTGTCAGTGGAGAATGGGGCACACAGAGAGAGAGAGAGAGAGAGAGAGAGAGAGAGAGAGAGACTTGCAGGGTGACTTTGACTGAGCCTTGGTACCTAAGCCTCCGACGGGGCCTCCCTCTGAGTCCCCTCCCACTGCTGCCTGGCAGAGTTAGCTCTGGGGAAGCCTATTGGAGCCAGCAGCTGCTGAGCACCACGGGGGGACCTCACCCTCTACTCAGCTCAACTCTCTGCACCTCCAAGAGCGTCCATCTGGACCCCGGGCCTGCAGACTCGGAGCGAGTCTGCTTGTTTTGTCTGACTAATAGTCCAAACCCCAAAGATATCAAGTTTACTCAAATTTCAGAGTTAAGAAGCTGAAACCAGACATGTGATTAGGATCAGATTGATTATCAGAGTTTTGTTGCTTAGCCAGTTGTTTCAGCATTGACTCTGCACCCGGCTACAAACCGGCTACAGTCTCATGCAGGAGATAAGCATCTGTTGACACAGTGAGATTATTACCCGGTCCTAATATTCATAATCCAATAGAGCTTTTATCGATCCAAATGTTTGGATCAGGTCACTTAATGGATCGTGGTATTCTCCAACAGAAACACCTTGAGTCCTATCTTCTAAAAAGGGGTTCTCCCAGTTATAACAAATGGGAATCACCTCCATCACGTTGCTCGCTACATTAGCGATCACCGGATCGTGACATTGTTCCAGTGCATCACATATTGTAAACAGTGCTAAACTGTGAGTGAGAATGAGAGAAACAGAGGGAGAGGGAGAGAGAGCGAACAGTACACTCTCTGTGCCAACCTAATCCCTCTCACTTCAGCCACAACATGGACTGAACGACTCGCTCTCGGGGCCTGTTGACAACCAGCAAATGTTACTGCCACACAATAAACTGCAGACAAACCTCGAACATCAAGATGATTACGGCACACAGGGCATTCCCTCCAAGCTCTGTGGGCTGGACACCGAGCTGGAGTCGAAGTCCGCTTCATATTACACCCCACATGCATGTCTATTAACGACTCAACAACACCTGTGTGTGTGTGTGTGTGTGTCTAGGTTACAGGCAGGCGACTTCTGACACCTTAAATGCCATCCATGTTCATTGTGGAGCCGTTTGTGAGCAACTGAAGGTGACCTGCTGGCTTGTTCTGGGCTGCTCCTACAAATTTGGCATTCGCACGTGGGAGGTTTTCCACTTTGCACTAATTGAATGAGCCAGTCGTTCACACTGTCCCGTCACACAAAAACAGACACACAGATACATTATTCAAGAGCTGAAACAATTAGTCTATCAAATCGATTAAGAGTTTAAGTAATTCACCGAGAGAGAAACGCAAAAACATGGTCTGGTTATGGCTTCACAAATGAGGGGATTGGCTCCTTTTCTTTGTTCGATATCATTGTTACTATCTCTTTGAGTAGACTTTGGTTTTCTGACATCCATCTTAAACGATCAATCATCTTGTTGAAGAAATAACGATATATTTATCAAAAATGAGTGATCTTGCGGTTGTACATGTTGGTGCACTTCAACATCCTGTGTTTACACTATTCCTCTCTTTTAGATGTTGCTAGCCATCTTCATGCTGAATGATACAGCAATACATCTGACACTGATGTTATCGAGTGGGAGGCTTGTGCTACTCAAGTCAGTGGGATTTGTTCACACATTTTCAGAATCTACAGATTATTTGGCTAAACCCCTCGTGATGGATGCACAGAGTCAGACACTATTACAGCAGAGGTGAGAAGCTCATGTAGTCGAGCTCTCTGAGAGCCAACAGAGACTTCCCTCGAGGTGGATGTGATCTGGAAGAAAAATATTGATTAGGCACACGAGACCCGACACCCAACATGTCTTTCAAAACCACTTCTCACCGTTCGTAGGTGCTTCCTGAGGATGTACATGATGAAGCCCCATATTCTCGACGTTACGCCGAGAAAAGTGCGGATGCCAAGTAAACACTGCCGGGTCTTCAGCATGTTGACGAGCACGCAAAGACCCTACAGTAGCCGAACTTCAATTCTTAGTCTGATAGCACGCCTTTTGCCCCCAGTTGTCGGGACAATTACTGGGGCAACTTGCTCGCTAGTAATAGTCAAAATCCGTCTTTAGCCACAGCCGCCAAACTAGCAATTCAAATTAACAAGAGGGCCAAGCAAACGTGCGAGTACCTCGCTCTGCACACTTGTGGCACAATTAGCATTAAATGGCGTGCATCCGCATTGTAGCTGTGAAAGACAAACGAGGACGTGGTCGAAGGAAAAGCTGCTGCACGACGGTTGCTGCTGCTGCTGCTGCTGCTGTGTGGACCTTAGCACGCAGCTCGTTGACAAGCTAGCTCCGGAGCTAGCTGTGCACAGACTACCGTTAGCTTGTAGCCACCAAGCTACTGCTAGCTCGACAGGGTGACCACCTTGAACCTTGGACAAAAATATCCCCAAAAAGCTGTGGGGTCGCTCGTTGTCAAGCGCCGGTTCCACGCGACTTCCCTCTGTGCGGCGTCTGAAGAGAGTCGGCTTTACAAAAGTTCCATAAAGTCTAACCGGTCCGGTTAAAATCGGTTTGTAGTCCAGTGGAAATCCGGAATGAAACTGCGAGCCGCCATCGCCGCCTTTCCGTCACTTCCGGGAGGAGTCCTGTGGTTGCGCGCAGCACGTCCACGTGGAAAGAAAATAAACAGACGTGTAACAGCAAGGGTGTGAAAAATAACCTGTTTTATTGTTTTATTTTAACACGAACATGATTTCTGGACATCTGTGTGTATACATAAAGTTTTGCTTTAATTGTGACAGTAGCTTGATTGGTGCCAAACATTGTTGTCCATAAACCGCCTTCTGTCACTGTGATTCAAAGTTGTAAAACAATCCTACATAAAAATAATCACTGGGCTTTGGTGAATACATTTTATAAGCACAGTATGCATTATATAATATCAGGGGCAGCTTTTGCAGCTATGCTGTCGGCTGACATGTGGGCTTGTCCATTGCCAATTAATGCAGTGGCCAAAAAGTTTACTTTACACCTAATTAATTACTTCAAACTTTTACGAAACTAGGAAACAATCCCATCTGACACTGTCATTCAAATAGCACGAATGATTTAGTGATGCTACTTATAAAGGGAAAAGGTTCCACTAGATAATTATAATTTTATACGAATAGACTGCAGCATTTATGTCACGTCTGTTGAAGATACCCACTACGGAATCCAAGATGGTCACTATTTACAATAAAAAGATGACTGATTATGTAACAAATGTAATCATATCAATGAATATAATGATTACTTTCAAACACGGTATGGAAAGGTCTCAATATATTTAAGAGTGATTATGTTTGAGATTTTTAGATGCTCTGGAAAGGGAAAAGCATCCCGTAAATATCAAAAGAAACAAGCAAAACTTTAAAAGAAGAAAAGTCAGAAAAATGAAACATGTGTCACAGAATGTATGTTTGTCTTATCACCTCAATAATATTGTGACCCTGTTCATATTTATTTTGGGAACCACTGCAACAAATCCAAGGGTCAGTTGGATGTTGCTATAGCTTGGACCTGAGGGTCCTATCAAATGTACAACATTCAACTTTATGAAAAATCAAAGTGTGATATTAACTGTTGGATAAAAGCCTATAGTTTTATTCAACAAGATGTAAAAAAATAATTAAATCAAGGTGATCAATAATATAACAAACACCTTTGGATAAAACCAGTTTATAAACATAATACAGATTTCTTACAGAAATATTTTACATTATTTGATATCTTTAAGATGAGATGGCAGCAAGTATTTGAATCTTCACTCCTGAAAACGACTCAGTGTCTTGAACAGCAAGGAGGACATGAAACGTGGATCCTTTGTGCCTCCAGTGGGTTCTGTTCCAGAAGCCTACACATCCAGATCATCATCAGGGTCCTCCTGGTCATAGTCATCGTTGGCATCAGGCTCATACAGAATCCGTCCTGAACCTGGGCTTGAGTGGAGCAGAGCTGTTTTCCTGTAAGAGAAAAGGGGACAGCGTTTAAAAAAAAAACCAAAAAAAAACAGGTCACTGAAACAATCACTGAAAAAAGTTGAAAAATCTGACAATTGTGGAAAAGTTTCTTACTTCTCTTTGCTGAAGACAAATGGTAGTGCAAGTTTCTCTTTGGCCTCACGCTCTGTATTCGATAGTCGAAGGTTAAAGGTCAAGTTGGCTGTTGGGTCCGTCTATAGAAACAGAAAAAGGACACTTTTTAGTTATCTTTATTCTATTGATCCGCTTATGTTGTAAAGATTTTAAGCATGTGTTATATTGCACCTCCTGTTCCTCGGGGTCAATCTGTTTGGGTCCAAGTTGGCTGGGCTTGCTCTGTACTACGACTGTTAGATCATTTTTGATGCTGAAAATCACCTCCTAAGGACAAAAAATGTCATGAATGATTTATAACAGATTTATAACAGCACAAAACTAGTCATCCCAAAGGAAACACTGCTTACGTCTAGCACAACTTTCCCCGATTTTGAGCGCTTTGTTATCTTTGCCACAGCTTCGTCTCCCTTCATCCCAGGTGCCACAGTGATGACTGAGGTGGCCAAGTGGCATACACTTCCTACAGTACCCCTCTGATGCATGTCCGCATGGAGCAGACCGATAATAGCTCTCACAGCTCCCCCTAATGAAAACACAGGAAAAAGACTCAAAACTGCACGGCCCTACAGTTACACTGTATTCTAATACACGTCCACCATGAAAGTAGTTTATTTCTTTAGAGAATTATTTGATATTCTTTAATCTCTCTTAATTGATATTCAAAGAAAACCTTGGAATGACTCTCACACCCTGGACGTCATACCTTCCTGCATTCAGTACCACTACAAAAAAAAAACTTTAAGAACACGTTATGGCGATGATTTATCACCTTTTCGAAGTTGCTGAAGAGTCTTGCAGACAGCAGGAGGACTGAGGTGTCTCAATATCCAGGAAAGAGAGTCGATCACTAAGGTAGCTGGTTTGGGGTGCGATGTTTGCTTGACCAGACGTGTAAGTTCCTCCAAACAGAACTGGTGAACGGTGAAAGCTGGTTGATCAGTCCAGCCCAGGGGGTCTGAATAAGCATTGTGAAAGTGTAGCCTGAGGTGACAAAAACAGATGATTAGCAGTGAACCAATATCAAAGTAGATGGACTAATTATTCCAGCACTAATTGCAATTACCTCTGAACAGGTGATCCTTTCAATCCATCTTTCAGCTCTTCCTCACTAACCTCAAAGCCGAGGACATGGACAGCTTCCTCCCTAAATTCATTTTTTAGGATACACATAACTTTAATAAACATTCATACTTGATAGTACACACACAACCAAACAGTCACATGCACCTTTCTTTAAATACCTGTTCAATGCAGCATTGATGAAGCTCTTCAGGAGGTGTCTACCAGAATAACTAGCAGAATCTAACAATGCAGGTATAAATCACATGGCTTTACTGTATGCTATTGCTTCGGTTCACATAGTTATTGCTCGCAATTTAGATTTAAAATGACACAACATTCAAAGCATTTACCTTGAATTATGAGAAACCCTCCAGCATCAGTGCCTTGCAACAATTCAGGCAACATTGTACTAAGTTAACGTTAGTAAACTGTAAAGGTACAGCTAGCTTCAACTAGTTAGCATGCCTCTGATTCACCACCTATTTAAACGTGAATACCATGATACAATAAAACAACGTGCTCAGTAATCTAACCGAAGAAGAACGACATCTCTTAAAGTTCAGAATGGCACGCGGTAAAGTCGCACGAGCTCATATTTAACTGATAATAAAGCTTTGCCTTTCTAAACCAAGTCCTGCATGTTTCGCTAGATAGCCTGTTAGGAGTGTACCGTTTCAAAAACATCATATCCCAGAGTTCCCCTCGGTGTAATATTGATCATACGCGGGAAATGTAGTTCATCAACACTTATGGTCCGGGTGAATGACTTCACAATTAACTACGTTACCCACCATTCCTCGCGGGAAACACTGCGCTGGCAGCCTCAAGAAGGTTTCTGCCGCGCACGGAGAAGACCGTGCGGAGTAAAGTCAAAACTCCAGTCGTTTTGTGTTGCCTACATTGAAGATACGAAAAAAAACTTCATCGGAGAAGTTCGCATTACGAACCTATATTAAGTCTAAGGATTTTTTTTTACGATTTTGCTACACTTTAATACGGAGGGTTATATAAATGTAGTGACGAATAAAAGGGAGATTTTGCTCGTTAAGCGATAGAGGAATTAGTATGTTGTAGGCTAATAACGTTAGTATACAGTTCAGAGGCGGTTTGCTTGGTGCTACGTTAACGTGGATCCCCAGGGAGGGAATATCACTACTACGACCCACAGTGAAGTGTTTCTGAGGAAGAGTCTCTTCGGTCTTCCGCGGCTTGTTGCTGCTAAAGTTCCCCGGCGGTAGGTGCAGCCACGCCGGGGGAAGCACAGCGCGACGGCCGCTACAGGCTAGCTCGCCTGGTGCTTCTGCTTCGTGGATCGAGGCCTGCTCGGTGAGGCGACAATGCTTGACATAATGTCCGAGCACCAAGGTATGTTTCCCCAGTATTAGCCTGTGAGATATTAAACAAACTGTTCCCACGGGATGTTATTATTTTCACTGTTTAAATATGTTGTATTTCGCGGCCATTAAGAGAAGCTATGCTAACGTAAGTTATGTCTATCGTAGGTGTTCCGTTTGGTTGCGTATATTGTATTAATAACACACCAACTTGTGCTTTGTCGTCAAAATGCCATGAAAGTTGTGATAAAGTGTGTTTTTATTTAGATTAATGTAGTTGACTTAACGCTAATGTAAACGTATGTGTTGCACAGTTATGCTAGCTAGTTGATTAACGCGCCGATCCATCGAGCTCAACGTTAAACGCGAATATCTGGACAGAAAACACTCAACACCTTGTATATTTTTAGGTAAATTGTACCACCTGTCATCCACGAAAAGCTGTTTATTTTGCATGAGTTGAAACCGATTATACGTTACACCTTGCTAACACCAAGCTAACATTGCTAATAAGCCTCCCACTTCCATTTCAAAAAAAGCCAGCGTGATTAGCTAGCTGACCGAGTGTCTGATTGTTAGCATAAGTTAACTCTTAATCAAAATGACCCGTTATCAATATCGAGTTTAAATGCAACTCGTTAAACATAATTAAGAAACTCACTAGTCGTATAACCCTGATTGCATTTATCTCTGCTAACCCCATAACCTGCGTTTAGCTTCTCCTCCAAGTGTCAGCTAACGTTAGCAGGTAGCATCTCTAGACAAGACAAAAAGACTAGTTTAAAGCTTTGCAGCCAACAAACTGAGCTACCCCTCTTTAGAAAAGCAGCCATGTGATTTAGCGGTGACATTAAATTAATGCAGAAATGTCCAGACTTTGTGTGAAGTTCCGATGGTGATCAAGTGACACCGGTTGCGGTTGCTGGCAGACCAACTAGACTCAACTAGTGTTATATCCGATGAGTGGTTTGCTTCATTTCTGCTCTATCCGATACCTCTGTCGGTCAATTTAACGTAACTAAACAACTCTTTAATATGCTCCACCCGCTTACCATCACTAATAACTGATTAAGTTATTGAGATGTGTTAGCAGGCTAATGCTAGCGTTGGTCCACATGTGTGTCATCGCACCCTTAGGCAACAGAGTTCTTGGGTCATTCTGTGTATAAACTGAAAATAATAAGCGCATCAAGACTGGTTCACTTGTGACTTATAGACTTGTTTTTCTTCTCCACTAGATTCACTGTTATCGTGCAAAACGGAACCATTGGTGAGTACTTTGCAATGTTGCTTTGAGTAGAACGTTCAGTAGCTTTTTGTATATTAGCTGCAAGTTCTTAAACTAAGGCTTGTGCTTTCTGTAGCCCCCAGAGCGGAAAAAGAGGACGGTTGAGGACTTCAACAAGTTCTGCAGCTTTGTCCTGGCGTACGCTGGTTACATCCCCAGTCCAAAAGAGGTAAGCTGCTATGAATGTCACTGTGGATATTAAAAAGGACTTATTGCCTGCCTTGCTCTGGTTGTTAAGAAAATACTAAAAATGCTTTTTCTTGTTGCCTTGCAGGAAAATTCATGGTCCCCAACATCATCCAGCTCTGCACACAGTTCAGGGTTGTCAGCAGATGGAGGTGGTGGAGGCAGCAGCTCCACCGGCAATACTTGGCCAGACGGGAGCTCCGACATCCACACCATCCATACGTTTGTTCGCAAAGCTCGGGCAAATAAGGGCAAAAGTATTCGCCGCATGCACTCTGACAGCACTCTGCTGGACAAGATGCGCCTTAAAGACTCCCTGTACGAGAGCCAGGCCAGCTCTAAGGCCGAGCGCAAGAAGGACAAAAAACTGAAAAAGCTGTCGCTGGGTTCCGGCATGACGGCGGCAGACAGCGGCAGTAGCGAAGGCGAGAAAAGAGCCCGCATCAAACGCAGCAAAAACTCAAAACAGCCAAAGCCCAAGAAGCTCAAAAGCTCCACTACTCAAAGTGAGACAGACTCTGAGGCTCAGCATGCACACACAGAGGTACGACCCGCCAGGGAGGAGCTGACGGAACACGGGGGCTCCACCCCGAGCATGCAGGGCCTGGGGAAGATGCAGCCCGACGAGTCCATGAGGGAAGCAGAGATGAGCTCCAGTGAGGGGGAGACCTGGATCGCCGATGAAGACATTATGGTGGAGTCAGGTATAACGTGCTTTAACAAATGTATTAAGATCATCTTTGGCCTGCATCTAATAATCAAATGTTTGATTCCAAAACAACTTTTTCCTCAATGTGATTGACTCCTTTTTATTTTTCCCCAGCTACAATACCTCATACCTCTGTTCTCTTTATCAACACAGGGGATGATTCGTGGGACTTGATCACCTGTTACTGTGGGAAGCCATTTGCAGGGCGGCCAATGATCGAGTGCAACCAGTGCGGCATTTGGGTGCACTTGTCGTGTGCAAAGATCAAGAAGTCCAACGTTCCAGACATCTTTTACTGCCACAAGTGCAGGGACTTGCGGCGGTCTGGACACAAAAAAGATCCGTAGACCCGCAGAGGACGGGAGGGACGAGGAGCACCCGCCCTGTTTTTGCTGTCCTCTTTGACACTCGTTTGCTTTGATGCCTACAGCCAAAACAGCCTAAATTATCACGTGGATGGCAACGGTTTTGTCAGTTTGTAGGATTTCTTTTTTGACAATCACAACCATTCTTATTTATCCCTCATGGTTTCTTTTACGTTTCTTCCTTCATTTTTCTTTGGCTACTGTGAAGAACTGGACAGAAGGCAACAGTAACAATGGAGACTCACTTATTTGTTACTAATTAATTGGCTTTTTTGTTGTACACTGTGCTGGTGATGTGCACATAAACTTTCACATTTAATCTCGTATCCACTGTAGGTGAACTTTGAGTTGTAAATTATTTCTCGAGGTTATTGACAAATCAGTGAAGATTTCCCTTTCGAAGTACAATTTTCCGTTTGAAGCCATTTCCTTTCAACTTCCAATCAATGCAAGTTTTACACATTGGCAAAAATGAATAGCGTAAGAGATGGACGATGTCACCCCTCTTATTTGTTTAGAAGTATGTCACAATGTCGGATGAGGAGCTCGTTTTCTATTTGATTGTATTTTGCCGATTTTATTTTTGAGTTGGTGTTTTTTGGTTTTGGTTGTCAGTGATGATCACTGAACTTTTCAAATGTAGAGATTTCACGCCCCAAGAAAAAGTGGTCTTCAAATTCATAGAATCAACTTTTATTCATTTATTATTTTGTATCTAAATTGCTACATTTTCAAATTGCACACAGGCAAGTCTTGCAGCAGTGCACTTTTTAAAATATGAACCCAAATACCATCCCTCTGCATATATGGGTGGTATTTGGGATACGATGGGCTGCGGCTGATTGAAATCTGTACTTGGCATGTAGCTGTGTACATTCATGATTGAGCGCTTAATGTTTCTTCCTGTCTGGCTTGTTAATCAATGATGGCCATTTACCATGAACAACATTGACATTGGAAGCTGTTAAATTTTGATGTTTCTGTTTCATGTGTGGTTTTAGTTTTTCCATTGTTTTAAAAACTCATCTGAGGGCGTAACATTGCTGTGAGACGGGATGGTTTAGCAGTGCTTTACAAGATCTGAGGCTCGTTTAAGAATGGTTGTAAAAAAAATTTTTTTTTTCTGTTTCATGTAATTGTTTATTTCTTAGCTTTCTGAGGAGCGGGATTAGGGATGCGCCCCGCATCAGAGAATGGACATAAGATTGTCTCACATCGAGAACAAAGTTGTAGTGTACAGAAAATAAGTTGACACCGCATAGGTCGCGGCGTTTGTTTATGTTGTTTGGTTTACCATGTGCTTTTTCTTTTGTTGGTGGGAGAGTCTTGTTCTCCAGTAGCAGTTGCACTCTCTCTACAACTTCAATTCTGTGTACATATCCTGTTCTTTGACAACTGTACATATGTGAAAGTGAAGAGAGAAAATACCCAAGCAAAATCTATATTTTCTGCAGTCTGATATTGTTTTCTTTAATTGTAGCTTGAAAAATAAAAGTCTTTGGGAACATAACGCTGGTTATTTTTAATTGATTGTATTAAAGGAACACAGACATTTGAAAACGGTTAACTTGACACATTTAATTAGATGTTTGCACACAGCAGTGTTTGTCATGTTTGTATCTTCTACCACTAGAGGGAGCAAGTCGACCAGCATGTCACTCGTTAATATGGCAGTGAGTTAATTAAGGAATAAATACAGAATGTAAAATACAGAGTTCACACATGGTTTGGCACTGAGGAAATATGAGGAGCTCAATTATCAAAGTTGCGCTTTATTCCTCGTGTTATTCCTCTGCTATGTCAGCTTCATCCTGAAACACAAACATGCAAATGAGTGTTTTACCAGACAAGAGCAGCGTCTTTACAACTTATCGATGCTAAAAACCATTGTAATACTAATGTCATGGAAAACCTGAGCAAGTTGAAAATTGTCTTCGTACAAATGTGAAATATAAGTGATCCAAGAATTGCAGAGAGAAATAGACCAGGACAGTCGAGTCTGCTTTAGAAATTGTAACATTTAACGATTGATATAGATCAATGAACAGTTCTCCCACAGCGGTTTTCTCTTGTAACTCACCTTTCGCTTTCGGAAACTGGACATTTGAAAGCTGCTGATGGAGTCCAGAGGAGCGACCTTCCTCCTGTAGACACAGCAGTCCAGATCACTTCATTTCACATGCAGTGACTGACGAACAATTTATACTTTTCATAATATACAATCACTCTGTAGCACACGTTCCAAAAACAATATTAAACTTTACACTTAATTTATTTAAAAGAAGAAAAAACATAATTACAGGAAGCAGAATTTAGAAATGTCTTCACATTAATCATTATACATCAAATAAAGAAGCTCTGATTCTATCATTGATTTAGATGATTGTTGACATACAAGTTATTTAAATTACTTATGTTGTGAGTTAAGTACATTTCCAATTACCCTGGTTTGTCCAGTAGACATAAACCAGATTTTGTAAAGCTTTTTCTCTGCATACATTTCAGGATGTGTGACTACAAAAGTGCTTCACACAAGTTCAAAGCCGTTCAAAGTACAATGAGGTTTCTCATCTTCTCCTCACCTCTTTTCGTTGGCTTTACGGTGGTTCTGGTTCTGGCTCTTCCTTTGGAGAGAAAGGTGCTCTGTTGGGGCGAGGAAAGTCTCTGAATGAGGGGGGCGCATGTCCACATCCCGGTCCATCTCCCCAGCGTCACCCACAGAGAGGTCTCTCTGGTCTGTGCCCTCATGCAGGTGGGGGAAGAGCTCTTGGTCCAGCCAGTTCACTTCCTGTGGACAACAATCACATTATAAATAGACTGCATAGGATTGCATGCTTGCAAGTATTTGAGTTGTCCAAAAGGTGACAAAAATGTATGTAAAAGGTTTACCCTTTTGTCTCTGTATCTGCTTGGCAATACAGCAGAAGACGTCTCCTCTGGCAGCATGTAAAGAGCCAGGAAAGGTAGCACACATGTGGAGCAAAGCATCTGCACAGAGTACGACGGCCACAGTCAGAAACGATAAACACACTAGCAATTTCATTTTTAAAAAAGCAACAAGCTCACCTTAAATCTTTTGTATTCTCTGTGGAGTTCTGTCCTCAAAGATGGGTGCAGGTCTGTGTCTTATGAGCTGTTGACCAGTGAGGAGGGTATTTGTAGCCATGCATCGATGGGTGGGTTTATATTATGGGACTGGCATCAGTGGCTGTTTAGGCTAAGAGAGTGTGTGTTTGTGTGTGTTTGTGTGTGTGTGTGATGTGACTTCAGACATGCCAATTAGATCTGCCGCCTTGCCGCCTGGTATTGTCATCATTAGTGTCAAACCTCTAAGGTCTCTCTTAAGAGATTTTAGGTGCTGACAACATGCCTCGACACACGTACATATACATATACATATACCATTATTATATATATTTTTTGAACTAATTAATATCTCAACGACATTTGGCATTAAAAAAATATATGAGCTGAAAATGAAATATTTGAACTATTTACCAACAACCATAAAACTGAGGAGAGCAAGTAACTATTTGGCATTTAAATCTAATAAACTATATAATTCATAAACAGTTAATAGTCAAAAGTTATTCGACAGTCAAAATTCAAGTTGATTAACTAACCACTTTGTCCAACACTCCTGCATTAATGCAATGTCTTTGGGTTTGAAAGAGAAGCCCAGAGACAGAGCGATCAGAGATAGTGGGCCTATCCCAGTGTGTGTGGTCATCTTGAAAACTTGCTTCGCCTGACTTCACCGGCCGATTGCCACCCAATCCAGACCACACACAACTCTCTCCACCCGCCCGCCTGCTGCCTCTGTCTGCAGAAAACAAAACAGAAAGGAGACAGAGAAGCAGGGACGGATGGAGAGATTGGCCGGCTGTGGGGTGGGGGGGGTCCACTCTGAGCTATGCGCATTTGGACACGTTTTCACTTTTCCTCTTTTCCTGCCCTGTCCAAATTATTTCTATTCTGGGACACCGAGGCCCACCAAACATAGAGCTAGTGCTGATAGATCAGGCGTGTATAAATAAACCAAGGCAAGGCTGGCAGCATGTCAGCAGGGGCAGAGGCCAGATAGGCCGCAATGATTACCTTCATTATCAGGGACAGGCCTCATTAGTAGCCTCTGGCGGGATGTGTGTGTGTGTGTGTGTGTGTGTGTGTGTGTGTGTGTGTGTTGTATTATTGCAATACAGGACCAAATGTCCTCCTGAAGATGTAAACTGAAGGGTAGGCCTTCAAAACGGGGACATCAGGATCTGGTTTAGGTCAGGTAAAGGTTTGAGTTAAGTAAATTGGATTCCAGGACAACTTGGCATAAGTTTACTCAAATTAATTTCAGGTGTCTCGTTGAAGTATTCTAAGTGATATACAGTATTTAATTAAATTTAAAAGTGTACTATATCTTGACAATAGTTTTGGGAACGTTTGACATTTTGGGAGTTATGCTTATTTAGAGTTAGTTGAGAAGATTGAAACCACTCTCAACAATGTCTGTAGGGTGAACATGAAACTACAGCTAGCAGCATTAAGACTGGAAACAGCTAGCGTGGCTCTCTCCAAAGGCAACAAAATCCACCAGCATCTCTTTAGCTTTCTCATAAACCTTAACAATCTAAATGTACAAATGACGAGTCGTGGTTTTATGGGGCGTTATGTAGCGGACTATTTCTTCATCTGGAGCAGTGACTTCCTTTTATTAAGCTAAGATAACTGGCTGTAGCTTCATATTTAGGGTACAAACATGAGAGAGGTGTTGATTTTCTCATCTCTTAAGTTAATATATATTTTTGACTTTTTTTAAAATTCAAGTATAGACAACTTTTATGGTTTTAAATGGTACATTAATTATGAGAAGGTGTAAAGGTCCTCAAGAATAGCATAGTAATATTAAAGTGCTTCATCCACTATCTTTGTTTGTGTACATGATTTACTGTTAAGTGTGTGTGTGTGTGTGTGTGTGTGCATGCTGAATCTCACACCCCGCCCTGGTCCAGTGCCCTATAAGTATCAGGCTTGCCAAATATAGACTCAGCAAAGACTGCTCCCTCCACAAATGTGAGCAGCCTTGTGAGCAGCCAACGATTAACATGGGGGAAAAATGTAAATCATAAACAAAACGTTTGTCAGATTGTATTTGTCCAGAAATGGAATGTGAATTCAGCCATTTGTTTTTGTGTTCACGGACAGACAGACGCATGAACTGAACAAAAAGGATTACATAAGGTTAACGTTGGTGGAGATAAACTGGGAAATAAATGACAGAATTGCAATAGCAGAAAAAGCACAGGTGTAACGAATAGCATTAACGATGTGAGCCAGCATGTGGTCCTGAAAGGCCTAAAACAAGATGCAGTCATCATGTTATTAGTTCCACCTGTGTTAGAAACCAGAACATACCTAAATATATTGGCTCAGGTAATAAATACAAAACTGTACTACAAAATACATTATAAACTTATAACATGAAATAGGCAAATGTTAAGTGAATTTAAAGCATATACACATGACAAGTTCAATATTCAGTGTCCTAAGGGCTTTGTTTGTGTCTAGCTAAGGTCTTTAAGCTAGTTGGCTGCTAGCATATATTTTTGACTTTCCTCATATTAACTTACTTTTAGTTGTGGGTTCAAGTTGCTAAAAAGTTTCAGTGAGATGATAATTTCTGTTAGTTTATTACTAATGCTAACCACTTTCACATTTCACATATTCACTTGGCTCAGTGTTGATATTTATACATTAGTCAGTGCAGCTTTAATGCCATTCTAAACTTAATTTAGTTGTATGCACTTTAGATAGTTTAAAGTATAGCTTAATTTATTCAGGTTTGATGTTGTTCAATTTACAACAGCGAGAGGAAACATGGCGGGGTGTCAGCCAGCCTTTTGTCTCGATCAATAGTTTAGTTAACTTTAGCTAATTTCGGTTTAATATTCTTATTAGATTAGTGGAGTTTGTTCAATTACATTTAGCTGTAATGTTAGTCAGTAGTGCAAAATAAGTGAAGTGAATACACTTCTAAAGTACTATGGATACTGACTAACGTTAGTATTACCACTGTTTTCTGTATTTAATGTAGTTTTTCAGTTGAGTGTTCTGACAGCACGTGCATGTCATTACCGAGGCATTAGCGCCCTCTAGTGGTTGGTGCGAGGACACAAACCCGAGTATCGCTCCCTCCACTGCGACTGGCACTGATAAACACAACGCGTTCACATTTCAGGTCAGTGACAGAAGAGGCAGAAGCCTTGTGAAAGATAGATACGACATAGTTTCCCGTTTCCGCACAACTGTATGCTAATCCGTGCAGAACACGGAAGCCTCCATAAAGGTCGTATAAGGGGGAGGAGGATATCGTAAGTATTTATGGGAGGGACGAGCGCAGCAACAGGGCAGTGACGATAAAACAGGTTAGGAAGAAAAAGCGCCTCCTTAAGTCCGTGCGTGGACCATCTCCCGCCTCCTCAACTTTCAATTAATTTGATTACACTCGTGGGACCTCGAGAAGAAAGCAGCTGCCAGGGAGGTGAGATTCCTGTCTTTACATTTTTTATCAAGTTTTTACAGGACGTTGCGTGCGTGAGACAGAGAGTTGAGAAAGCAGTCCGAGGAGAGGGCTGAGTAGGTTGGTCATGTGGGGAAATAATTGTTTAATTAGACAAATCATATACTGGTTACTTGATTAGCTTCGCGTCAAGTTGATTTATCCGCGCATACGGCTTAAATCACGTACTTTCTAATAGTAATGGTAGAAAAGATGAAGTGAAGTGGAGTAACAGATTATCCAGTGGAAACAAATAAATGACCACAGCCCCCATTTCCTTTGCTAAAACACGCCACACCCACTGTTGTTCTCGTGCATGTTGGCTCTCAAACACGGAGAACAAGGGAGCTATTTGCTGCCTCTTTAGTTTCCACTGTATCACTGGCCGGACTTGCGGACTATGACTTGGTTGCTGTAAATGTGCCCAATGCAAATTGTTCACTTATTTTTTTATGCAAATAAAACTCCGCTCCTGCACAGTATCAGTCTCTTGAATCCTGACAGAACAAAAGTCTTGTCTTGTTTCGGTTTGCTCATGCTGGGAACGGAAACACCACATAATACCCTTTTTAAACTCCTGTGTTGTGGTGACAAACAGGACACGTGACTATAGGGAAACTGATCTGAGACTAACTGTTGCCCCTGCTGTTTCTGTGCCAACCCCTCTCCCGGCCCCCCTTTCCTCCCAGTAGAGATCCTGAGAGTGGACTCAAGTGCGACCTCCTTTGACTCTGTCCCCAGAAGAGTTTCATCCAGCTGCTCGCCATGTCTGCTCCTGGTAAGCGGCTTAATGCAACAACTAGCAAAGAGGAAAAAATAACTACATTTCTTTCAGATTTCCATCTTTGATTTGATTTTTTAAAACAGACAATGAAAAGAATTAAGAGCCCTGGTGGTGAGTGTTTCTTCTGATATTTCATACCAGTGTAATTTAATTGCTTCAACACTTCCTCATTGGCCTTTTCCCTTATGTTATATTTTGCTGCCAGTGTTGAAATGATTTGGTTGTTGGATCTCAAAGTTTCCATGAGACATTCCTGTTCACTGAGCATCATTGTGGAGTGGAGTGCTCGTCCAGCACCCGGATTCCTCCGATTGAGAAACGCTGTACTTCCCCAGGTGGTGATGTTTACATGAAACTTAAGGTGAAAACACTTCTGTTTAGTTCCCGTTGGTTCAGCAAACTCCTCCCTCTGGTTTGAAAAGAGCAGTTTAGGAAGTGAAAGGTACCGCTGTTCGGGCCTGTCTGTGGAAATGAGGGCCGTCTTCCTGCGAACACTCTGGTTTTTTTATTGGGCTTTTGTTTCCTGCAAGCAGAGAAAGGAATGTGGAAAGAGGTGGAGCAACAACATGCCTTAAAGTTCATGGAACACATTACTCACGTCCTCAATTTGACTTGAGAAGCTTGATAGAAAGTCTTTCTAACTTCAATCCATATTTGTTTTTGGGGATTTAACATGCCCACGACCTTGAGCAAGAATGATCTCACTATGAAGCGGTCTAATGACCTCTTGAACCTGTTTAGCCGGTTGTTGGTGGACTTTCCTGCCGCACCAACAAAAAACTGTTTGGTCGGTTTTGAAACAAACTTCCATTTAAGTGCACACACAAACGAGTGTCCTGGGCAGAGGGGATTGGAAAAAATACAAGAAATAAACACAGAATCCCTCATCCAGAGACGGAAAACACAAATCTCCAGACGGCTTGTTTTGTTGAAACTACAGTTCATATCCCAAACGTGTTCAATTTACATGAATATAAAACAGAAGATTCTCACATTTGAGATCTTTTTTTTTTTTTGCCCGAAAAATGACTTCTCATTTCCGTTTTATGCTCGTTACAGATAAGAATACAGATCACAAGAAAAGGTCTTTGCACACTCGGTTCACAAGACAAAGAACACGTAGGCAAGTATAGTCAGCCTAATAGTTGAAAAAAAAAAAACACTGAGCAACATCATCAAGGTGAGTCTAAAATGAGATAACTGTCCAGGAGATAAACATCTGGTAGTGAGTGAGCACATGACAGTCAGGTTCCACTTTATCACATCCTCATGCACTTCTCTGGTGTACCCACTTCCTTTAGATTACCATCTCTTTTCTGTGTGGCTATAGTAACCTACGTGTGAAGGACCGTGTATTGAGTGAGTAATTCAGTATTCTCTAATAGCTTCAGACTCTCTTGGACCAAACATTGGCGCCGTTAGCTTTTAAAAAAACAAACATGTTTAGAAGATGCTTATGTTATGAGCTGGTGATGAAGAGCAGACCCCGGCTTAGACAAACAATCAGAAACAAATGTATGTTAATCAAGACTGAAATGAAGCATCCAGACTGCCACTAAAACTGGAGTCACTGCTGTAAAACTGCCTGCTGAAAACCTCACTGATTAGGCTAGTTTGCTCTGGTCAGAGAAAAGTCTGTATTTGTTGAATTCAAGCCCAAATAAAGACTATCAGGCACTTCTACTATTTAAAAAGCTCTTTTTAAAGAGCGTATTTATTATGAAACATGAGAGAGATACAAGAGAAGACCACCAGGGCTATTGCTGTGTAGCATAGCCCAGTATCGGCTTTATATTTGCTCCCTTGTAAGTGCATCCATTCTCCTCTGGGGCTCGGGTAATAAGTAGCTTATTGGCTCTGCTGTCCCAGCAGGGAAAAGCAGGATGATCCACTCTTCTCACACACTTACGAGCACAGAGCAGCTGCTATCAGCCGCAAACGGATCGTGACATCGTCCGTCTAGCCACTGTCGTGCAACGATGACCTGAATGTTTGTCTGACTCTAGATTATTCTATTCTTTTTATGTTATTGGAAGGTTAGAACTTGGAGACATTTGATCACGATTCCTGAGATGCAGAGCTCTATCACAAAACTAAACAAACTAAACTTTTTCAGCCGGGCCGCTAGCCGACCGGTCTTAATTCTCTCCAACCCTGGAGATCTTAGGGAGGAGCGACCCTGCTCCTCCAGCAGCATGATCTCCCCCGATCAGATTCCCTGCTTCGCCTTCATCTCCTTGATGAGATCAGCTCCAAGTGTGTCTCTCCCCACACCTGATCCCAATGCTCTCCTGAGTGAGTGGGTGGAGCCCTCTGGCTGAAACGTACACGCCTCCAATTACCCTAGACCTCAGCTCCTTACACAGCTTTATGTTTTTAATGCTTGTATTGTGTTTTTGTGTGTTTTTAAATATAAATTATTATATGGGTTTTATGTTTCTTTGTTTGAGTTGAGTTATGTTTTTATGTGTTATGTTTTTTCGATGTTTCATTAAGGTTAAGCTGGATGGCTTCCAGTTTTTACAGTGAAGAAACTGTGTGTGTGCAGCCTTTATAATGAACAGTGTTATTCAAATAAAATAACAGCTGCAGGCGATCATGTTTAAACTGACGTCATTGTTTGTTTTTACCCAGTTTACCCAGGCCACTCCGTAGCCCCTTATCCAGCTGCTCCGGGCGGGTACGGAGACCCCAGTCAAGCTCCTCCAGTAGGCTTCAACATGGGCTACAATGCAGGCCCAGCTCCTGTCATGTATCAGCCCGGTGCCGTCGGCCCAGGCCCAGTCCCTGGACCGGAGTATGGCGCCCCCCATGGAGGGATCTCGCCGGCTCCAGCTGCGGTTGCCGTTGGGGTCCCACCGGGGCTCGAGTACCTCACACAGGTAGGATAGAGAAATCACAGAAAGATCTTTCATAACCCACGGACTCCGGTGATGCTGCGCCGCATGTTTTCGGATTTGTGTCTTTATCTTGAACTAAGATGGATTATTGAAGAGCCACTCCTTCACTTCTGGAATTTGTTCCCCTCACTGTTTCCGAGCGAGCAGTTTGCTGATAATGACTCTGACTCCCAGAAGTTAATGATAACAAGCTACACTTGAGATCACATGTGGCCCCCTAACAGGCTACTGTAATTGGGCGTGTACTGGTCTAAAGGGAACACTCATCACCTATCTTTCACATGATTTTTATGTAAAAAGAACCATAAGATATAGACAGAGATTCATGTAACTACAATTACTTGTTACTGTAATAGATGTACAATGTTTGTACTTGTACTGCTTAGTTTATTGTACTTCTCTAAATCACAGCAGCTAGCATTGAGATGGTCTGTGGTTTCATGGTAGTTCACGGATTAAGTAGCTTTGCATTGCAAACAAGTGAAATGATCCCTTCGCGGTTCCATCCTTTCCTCTTGTTGTAAGAGGAACAAGACTTTCAGACTTGAGGTTGGGTATATTGTGCAGTGATGAACTGTTAACTCTTCCTCTTGTGGTTTTAGATCGACCAGATCCTGATCCATCAAAAAGTGGAACTCCTAGAGGGTGAGACATGTTCATCAAGTCACATCTCCACTTTGTAAACCGCCAGTGGTGTATAAAGTACCCAAAAGCCATACTTGAGTAAAAGTAAAGATACCTTACTGGAAAATGACTCCAGTAAAAGTCACCTATTAGAATACTACTTGAGTACAAGTCTTAAAGTATCTGATATTTATTGTACTTAAGTATCAAAAGTAATTTTCTGATATTAAATGTACTTAAGTATTGAAAGTACAAGTAAATGCTGTTAATAAAAAAGCAAAGGGTCAGAATTTTGAGAATTTTGAAGTTTATTCTTTTAAGTGCTGTGGCCACCATGACCAAGGACATGGAGCTGTGTTGACAATAATTGGGTTGGCTGTGATCCATCCAGGAGCAACAATGTTCAACATAATATATCGTACATAAGTATACTTTTGCATCTACTATGAACTTATCATCATAATTCTCCGAAAAGCAATATGACCCTATGAAGGAGTTGTAACAGTGTGTTTATAAGTATGCTCATTCCGACTAGAGGATGTAGAGGGCAATTGCATCATATTGTGTTCAGCAAAAAATATCCACTTGATGCGTCAGGTCAGTGTTTTGAGAAAGGACACCTGCCTTGTAAACTCCTGTGGGCCTGATTTGAACACAATAGGCAAAGGTTTTGCTCAAGCTGAATCTGCTACCATCATAACTCCATCTGATCATCCACAAAATGACTCAAATATCAAAACATGATCGATACTAAAGCAGCACCGAAAGTAACAACCCAGTCATTACTTGAAAAGACAATTCTAATACAATGTAGCTTCTTTACATTCCGTAAAGAAGTTACATTGTATCAGAATGTAGCTTCTTTACATTCTATTAGAATGTAAAGAAGTTACATTGTATCAGAATGTAGCTTCTGTACATTCTAATAGAATGTACAGAAGCTACAGTGTATAGAATGATTCGATTGAATTTATTCCTTTTTTAAATGTTTTAGACGAGTCACTAATCACTTTAAAAGAGTGATTATAGCTGATTTAACTTACAGACATGAGATTGATCTTCTCATGTCACTCTCGTTATACAATGATATAAATTCATCCCCGTTTTATTGATATCTTACGAAAAGTTACTCCTCATTTTTCGTGCGTTTTTCCTGCAAAAGTCCAGCAGCATGAGTCTGTTTTCGCTTGTTACATGCATACTGTCTTTCCAAAATAAACTTCCATCTTCACAGGAAACAACTAAGGTTTAGGCGATGAAACTACTTAGTTAGGTTGAGGAAAAGATCGTGGTTTGCGTTAAAATATCTACGGAAGTGGCGTCACAAATGAATCAACATTGGCTTCTCGTTTCACGCACGGCACAAACTGCGGCCTCCTGGAGGAAACACCAGTGTTTGTTTGACCCATCCACCTCTCCTCATCCCACCCGTCCTGTGTGGAATTCTACTCGTGTTGTCGCTCGCTAGCTTTAGCATATAGCATCCTGGGCATCACTGGGAATCTAAACACCGCGGCTTTGAGAGCACTTGTTTTGCGCATTAACGTGATTAACCAATGATTTAACTGATTCACCAAACCTGCTTGCTTGCAGTCTCTGTTCCACCACAGTCCCCGACGCTGGTCTCATGATTCATTTTGTTTCTAAAGATAGATTTGATTTTGTAGCGAGTAACGAAGGTTTCAGGGGAAATGTATCGGAGTAAAAGTATCAGTTTTCTTTGCAAGATGTAGTGAAGTAAAAGTAAAAGTCAACAGAAATATAAATAGTGAAGTAAAGTACAGATATCCAAAAAAAACGACTTAAGTACAGTAACGAAGTATTTCTACTTCGTTACTATACACCACTGTAAACCGCAAATAACCAGCCGCAGCATTTTTTGTCAGGTTTTGGTGCACCAGTGAGCTTTAAACCTCTCAATATAAATCATAAATTCTTTGCTTATCTACACTTTGTTATTCACCGTTTCCCACCCGTTTTCCTTCCTCCCGCCCAGCATTCATTGGCTTTGAGACCAACAACCAGTACGAGATAAAGAACAGTCTGGGCCAAAAGATCTACAAGGCCAAAGAGAAGAACGACTGCTGCACCAGGAACTGCTGTGGCTCGCTGCGCAGCTTCGACATGAAGATCAAGGACAACATGGACAGGGAGGTCATCCGTCTCATACGGCCTTTCCGCTGCGTCTCCTGCTGGTGTCCCTGCTGCCTGCAAGAGGTGTGTGTGTGTCAAAAGCATTTTTAATAGCCTTATATTATATTGATTTAACACACCAAGACCAATATTGTGCCAATTCAATAGTTCATTCAGCCCTAAATCGAGTTCTCACTCTGCTTTTGGATAAGCACTGTGATAACGTGCTCCATTATTAAGGTTGTTAATATTTAACCATATTGATTGTCTGAAGAGTTTGCGATGGAGAATGAACTATGAGTTGCTGGAGGAGTTGATTCATATTTCAGCTTACTGGTTTAGACGTAACAATAATCATTTTTGAGGTTTCCTTTTGGAAATTAAGCTAAACAACCAAGGAGAACCCTTTAAAGACCTCGTTCTGGGTCTTATTTGTCCAGATTTTGAGGTATCTGTCTCTGAGAATTCTTCCTCCACCTCGATACAATGTTTATTTGTGGTGCTCACAGCACGAATTTAATTTTGGAAGATTCAGCAGCAACGTGTCTGTCCAGAAACAATGTCCTAGTTACTCTGGATGATCAGTTTTAACAAGAACTATTTTCTACTTAACAAATAGTTCTTAAGAAAACTGTTGCTGCAGAGTGTAACGGGGTTGTTGTTTCTGGCAGGCGATGTTGTTGTTGTTGAGATGGACAGTAAGTAAAGCTAAAACTATTTGCATGTCTGGATACCATTAAAAGTATGCAAAAAAAACAGCCCTCCAAAAAGGATTTTGAAGTGGTGATTTGTGTGCATGTTTTCACTCCGGCGAAGAATTAGTAGCTAATAGTGCTGATGAAACTTACTTGGTCCTATCAGCTGAAACATCTGCAGCCTCACAGCTCATGTTTAGCGGCTTCTGCCTTTCCTCCCTTCGCCCTGTGTTACTGACGAGCTGCTGAGCTGCGCTTCGATGTCTTTGTGCACCAGTCTGCTCAGGCACGGGGTTTGTTAAGACTATGAATGGCTCTTTGTCCGCCGCCCAAGCTATCTCCTGGACTCCCCCGAACCTCTGCCATCGCTCTACCTCTGAGACCGCTCTCTTTCTCTCTTTAATCACATCATTTGCAGTCTGGCTTCAGTAGGTTCCCATTGGCCCAAAGCCATGCTGCTACACGCTCGCATACTGCAGTTCTGTTTACTGGCCAGACAGGAGCCATGTGGTATCTATTACCTTTTGTTATGTGGTGCCACAATGGAGCCGTCAGAGGTTCAATTATCATCCCTGCTGTCCCGTGTCACATGTGTCGCATGCTAATAACCCCGTGATGCTTTATTTAAAGCTGCCAGTGTCAGGAGATGAGGGCAGATTTTAAGCTCTCAGGGAAAACTTTCTAGTCTTGTGGCACGTTAGTGTGTGTATATAATTATGTATGTGTGGCCCGCAGATGGAGGTCCAGTCACCGCCGGGCACCACCATAGGCTACGTGAAACAGGACTGGCACCCTTGCCTGCCGAAGTTTTCCATCCAGGGACCCAACAAGGAGACCGTGCTGAGACTGGATGGGCCCTGCTTTGCCTGCAACTGCTGTGGAGACGTCAACTTTGAGGTGAGGTCAGAGGATCGTGGTGTTAGAAGAAGGTCGATACCGCTCTCATTTCTACATATTTTTGAAACGGAGCTAGCCCCCCGTTTCCAGTCTTCATGATAAGATAAGCTCACTGCCTGCCGGCTGTAGCTTCGTATTTATCCTACAGACATGAGTGGTTTCAATCTTCTCATTTCAACAGTTCCGATCAGAGTGTGGCATTTTCTGGAAACGCCTCAACATAAGTCCACAGTATAGTATACTTAATAAAGCATCTTATGGACATTGTTGCTCTTATTGCTCTGCAGCTGAAGGGCAAAGATGATGACAAGTCCATTGGTCGCATCAGCAAGCAGTGGAGCGGCCTTTTGAAGGAAGTCTTCACAGACACGGACAACTTTGGCATCCAGTTCCCGCTGGACTTGGATGTGAAGCTGAAAGCTGTGCTCATGGGAGCCTGCTTCCTCATAGTAAGACCATATTCTTCTCTTCTCCCCCCCCCCCCCCAAATCTTTGAATAACAACAATTTTATTTTGTGTATACTGTACTTTCTGCCTCAGTCTTATAAGAGGATGAATTGATTTCCTTCTTTGTTGCCACTTTGCAGGATTTCATGTTCTTCGAGAAGGTTGGGGAGGCCAACCAGCGCAGCACGGTGTTTTCATAACGGAAGAGAAAGCAACCGCATGAGAGCAAGTGCCAGTTATGCAATCTCTGTTTGTGTACTTTTTTTTTTTTTTTTTTTTTTTTTCCAATCCTTCCGTCACCAGATTCCAGCCAAAATGGTGATTTGCACCAGGATCATTTTATACACACCGACCAAATTGAGCTCATGAACTCTTGATTCCAGATGCCTGCCATGGATTGTTTTTTACACTCAGTGACTGATACCGGCTGCCACGTTGCCAATGTTCCTTACATTCCATACAGTCTGTAGTTTTATCTACTCGATGTGGGTGAACGTTACCGCCATCTGACATCTAGTCTAGTGCTAATTAATATTAATGTTGTTTGAGTGCTAACACAGTTTTGCATGCAAACAAGCTAAACTAACATTGTTTGCATGTTAACCTACCTGCTGGACATCTGCTTGTTAGCATTTAGCTCAAAGCACTAAAAACCGCCTCGCAGAGCTGCTAGTGTGGCTGTAGACTTTTAATCTCATGCATTAACAAAAGCTTTATATACAACTTTTTTACATAAATCAGCCATTGTAAACAGGCTGCCATTATTTAGGGCTTATAGGGAAGTGGTGGTTGTGTTAGCGAGAGGGGGAACGTCTTTTAGTCGACGATATTTACCAAAGTGCTCTTTCTCTACCACTCAGCGACCTCTCTATTCCTCGAAACCGTCTGTCTTAAAAGTTTTGTGATAATACCTTAATGAGAATTTAATGATATAACATGATCTAACAATGCTGTAGCACAGGCTACAGTGTAAATGCTCTCATGCTCCCTCTGTGGTTTAGTGGTTACCATTGAGAGGGGGCGTGCCTGCCAAACCTCGCCATCCAGTTGCTCGAGATACCACTGCCTTTAACATGTGCCACTGTCATGATAAAGGAGAGAGATCGTGTAATCTGTGAAGAACATAAAAAAGCAGAAGTTTAGGTTAGTCAAGTGAGAAATATAAGAAAACACATTGACTGTCATTTTGTGTAGCAGGAAGAGACCTGAATGTGAACTTGTGAAATATGGTCTGATCGCTGTGCTTCAGAATGGATTAAAAGAAAAATGTCAGGTTTATGTTTGCAAATGCTCCGAATTGCTCTTGAATGCAGCTCTCTGCTCTGCATTTGTTCAGCATCGTTCTCGTGAGACATGGGTGTGCCTCTTGTGAGGCTTCGTTGCCACTAGTGCTCTCGAATGCAGATCACAGCTCTGTCAGTAACTGAATGTGTCTTATATAGTGTAAATACTACCATCAGCTTCTGTGTAGTCTGACCTCAGGTTAAGAAAGCATGGCCAAAGGTTGTACAGTACATTTATTGGAATTATTTGTTCATTGTGTCAGTTTGATGATCATTGAAAGCACTTTTGTTTTTCTTTTTTTTGTCTGTCAGAATAAAAAAAATACCCTGTACTTCACAAATAAAACGAATGCTATACGTTTCTATAGTTGTATAGTGTTGTCTGTGTTCTTCTGCTCCGCTGATTGTCGGGGAATCTTTGGGAAGGCCCTGGGACACCTAAAGTCTGAATGTGGAACATCTGGTTTCACTTGGAAAAAATGATCTGTGCTTCAAAAGGGAAAGCAACAACGTCAGCGAAAGTCCAGTTCAAGTAAATCTCTGCTTTTTAGTTACTGGGTAACTTTCTCAACACAACTTGCACTTTATTGGTGTCATTATCAGCTTCCTTTATCTACCTAAAGACTTCATCCGTGCCCTACTTCAGAGGCAACAAAAGGAGAAAAAAAAAAACCTCTCGTATCACACATTGAATATGAAGCGGCTCCATCCTCTGGAAGAATGTGGGAAATACAAGCATAGTATTTAAGGGAGCATGTCTGCACATGTCTATCCATGCCCCAGCTCCTGGGACATGACTCAAACTTTAACCGTCCACCCATAATTTGTAATCATGGTTCTTACTATTCAAGACTCCGAAATTCAGTGTCTGGTTGTACAGTTTACGACCACAAGTAAGTCTGTGTACACAGTTCACACATGGAAGTCGCATGGTAATGACTAACGGAATACTGCATATCAAGGGTCTGAGTGACTGGGTTGACGTCTGAGCAGAGTCAATGACATCCGTCTTAAAACACAAATTCAATTAAGACACTCACTCGTTCTGAAGACCAGCATGCGCTTGAACACAACACAAAGTTCCTTCGAAAGTGTTCCCATCAGTGTGTTCTACAAGATACAGCAGCTCAGCATTTAGACCAGATAATCACATTTATTCAATAAACAATCATTTCTCATACAATATATACAAATGCATTAAGATAAAAAATATTTGCAAGATGCACAAAACGTGCTCAACAGCATCTCATTACAAATACAAAAAAGCAGTCAGTCTTTTTATGAAATTTCTGTTCCCATAGTTGTGTTTGGCAGCTTCCATTGCTAGAATTGTAGCTGAAAAAGTCAACCATTTATGAATGAATAAATGTAAAAAAATCAGCGAGAAAATCCCTTCAGACTCGTCTTTCTGTACTAACTGGGGACCGCTCCTCCCGCGACCATCGCATCAGGTAGCTGCTGGCCAGCTGCAGGTTCCACTGGTGTCTGGAGAGGATCTTCAGACAGTCTTCTCTGGAGCAGAGGCTCAGCAAGTACAGCTGCTCCAACTGAAAAAAGCAAAATACAAACATTTTGAGATACGTATATCCATTAACACCTCAAGCATTCATGGAGAACAAGACGGACAAAGAAAGATGGTTTGTTTGCTTTCTGAGTGCTGAAACATTCAGGTAAGTTGCACCTCTGTGCAGGTGTTTCCATCAGCATTCAAATGCAAAGCACCTGCTGTGAAATCATTGTTGAGGGCATGTCCTGGAGTGCAACATGCTTCAGTTTTTAATTGCAAGTTGTTACAAAATCACATATTAAAAATGTCAAAAACATGAATGTCGAATTCCGTATTTCTAATTGATTAAAGTCACACTTGAAAAGAAGTAGACATTAGTATACATAAGGTTAGTCTACATTAAAGGTGAGCATCCAATTCCAACTTGGTGACACATTGTAGATTTGCTCTATTTATCTAAATAAAATACACAACTAAACTTTTAAACGTCGTCATTTCATGGTCTGACCTTGAGTTGTTGTTCAGCTCGCACTGGGTTCCAGTCATTCCGTTGAAGTGCAGCGTGAACCTCTTCAATGGTCACCCCATGAACCGCCTCCATGATCTGAGCAAAGCAAGAGCAACAACGCTTGTACTTGTAATCCATTGAACAACTTTTTACACAGAAGACGCCAAAAGATTATAAATCAGTCGTGTTACCTGTGTGGTGAGATTGTCTCTTGTGTTCTGCGCATGAGCCTTATCTCGATCTCTGACTCGCTCCCTCTCTCGATCTCTCTCTCTGTTGTCCGTGAGCTCATCCAGCTGCGGGGTTGAGCGTGCCATGTGGGCCATTTTAGCCAGGTTGGAGCCTCCGATGCCCTGCTGAGGTGGGTAACGCGGGTGAGGTGGAGGCTGCGCCTGCGCCGGAGGGGCCAGGACCAACTGTGGAGGCCATGAGGTGCCTGGGACCGGGTAGATCGTTGGCCTCCGGGGTTTCAGATTCAAGCGTTTCAGGTTGGGGGGCGGCGGCCGGGCAGGCGGCGTGATACTGGCCTCGCTGAACCGCCGTGGGTCCTTCTGCATCAGCGCACTGCGATCTGCCACCGCAGGGGGAATGACTTTGCCGTGCTGATCCACTCTGAGCATCCCTACTGTGTGAGACCTGGGCCGCTGTCCGTTCAAAACTGACTCAAGGCTCTGAGACATACCTGAAGACACAGACAGGCCTTTTTAATGCACAATTCAACATTAATCATAAAGAGGTAGCGGCTTGTTGTTTAATAACTTCATAACAAACAGCATTTTAGAATAGAACGTGTTGAGAAATAACAAAACAAATGTATGTATTAAAGTATGAAAAGATAAAAAAGGGTGGCAGCCATGTTTCTACAGTCTATAGAGCTTATTACTGGAGCTGAGCAGTTTTGACTAAATGTCACTGTTTACAGATCTGAGGGTTTAATGCAATGTGTAATATGTAGTAATGATGCGTGACATGATTTATGAGAAAGGTAAAGTCATTGGTGGCCCTTAGGAGGGGCAGCAACCACTTTGTGGAAGCTAATGAGGATGAGAATGAAATAAATAAATCATTAAGTAATAAGGATGTGATCGTCTACTTTAATGCAGCCTGACCGGGAAAATACAACATCAAGGATATGTTAAGTACAACAATTTAATATTCAAAATCCCAGATGATATCTAGTCATATCATGATGTTGATCTGGATATAAAGTACATCTCACAGCTTAACTCGCTACAGTCTGCGGCTGCTTTTATTTTGAGTTACCTACCTGCCATTTTCTGCAGATTGGAGCCCTCCTTCTCCCTGGCAGGGCCCGCCCTCCAGCTGCCACCGCTGCACAGATCAGAACAGTAAACACATTAGCTTGACAGCCTCGGCTCACAAACTATATTCTCTGACAGCAGGTGAAAGTTCAGTGCTGCACTGTTGTTCTGCAATGAAACACATTGACTCAGGAACCTGAGATGGAAGTTTATATGGTTTTCTTCCTGATGTAGGCAGAATAAAAAAAAAATGGGAACTGTAGTTTGAAAAATCACAACTAGCTACTTTTTTTCTTTGTTTTGTAGTATTCTGAATACTACATGAGCAGAACAGCTGCAAAGGCTACAAGGCAATAAAAGTGACACCCACCCACCCTAAATCCCTATTTTATTTGAGCCAGTGTGAGAGCCTGACAGCTTCACTGCTTCAAATTTATGTCAGTCAGTGAACCTTTCTTCCCGAGTCATTTTACTGCCATGCCATGCTTATTTTTATCCCTGCAGACTGACCAAACCAATACAAGGTACTTTCAGTTCAGCCTAGATAGAGTCTGACAGCACACAATGTTGTGCTCTAAAAAAAAAGAGCTTCCCTCCATATTGACATCTTTGTAGAAGATGCAAACACAGCAGACAGCCTAAGGTAAGATGGAGAGAAATGAATGCATGGTGTCACTGACTTGTCCAGCCTATCAGGTGCTCCCCAGCAGCGGTCAGGTTTGATGTCTCCGTGCCCCGTGTGGTGCAGGCTGCCATTCAGCGGGGTTGAGATGTAAGGGATGGCAACAGCCGGGTTGGGCCCGGGGTTGCCTGCAGTGGCAACGACGGCAGCAGGAGGGAGCGGCAGCACAGTGAAGCTCGCGGGGAACCAGCCGACTGCCAGCGTATTCTGGTTCTGGCCTCTCCACTCACTCAGCTCCAGACTGCACGGAGAGAGAGAGAGAAAGAAATGTCAATTAGTAACTAAATAGCTGTATTTGTTTAAAGTGAGACTACAGGGATGTAACTTTGGCACAAGTAGGGAAGTCAGCGAATTAGCCACCATATGTTCCTGGTCATACCAGACCAATGAGTCTGTAGTAGCAAAACACAAAAAAAGACGACAAAGGTTATTTAGTCTCGCTTTAAAAGGAGAAAGAGAAATAAGTTCAACGTTTGCTAAAGAAGACCGTGAGATGCGGCTCTGAAAAGCCAGTAAGTGGAGTTTACACATACAGTTCCCAAAGGTCAAGAATAAACTTAATGCTAAAAACAAACAATGTTATGATTAGTTTTATTAATAAAATGCAAAATATAAATGAATGAGTCTGTACCACAGTACTGTAGGACTTTCAGTGTTTGCATTTTACTTTTTATTTTGCATTAATAACACCAACATAATTTATTCATTGTAAATTATATATTCTTACACCACTTTATTGAGTCAATTTTAATGATATTTAATGAGTTGCAGAGTGCACTGAACACTTTGTGACTTAGATTTAAGTGAGGGGTTTCAATGCATGACTTATGGAAAAACGATCTATTTTAAGTTGAGTTTTAATGGATGTAGGTGTATTTTCTGTTGCTTGAAACGCTACTGAATGAAAAAAGCTGCAAACAGTGAGACAGTGTGTCATAGCTGATAGACTTGTTCAATCAAACAAAGCAAATTTGCATTCAAGGACTCCATGAGATGAGGGCTGGAATGCGGTTTTGAAAGGCTGATTTAAACCCCTGTTTTATCTTAACAAAGGCTCATTGTGTTCAAAGTATTTCCTTTACTCTTTTAGTTCCACCCTCCTTTCTCTCACCCATGGTCTATGACGGTCACAAGGTCGTTGGCCACAAGTGCAAGTTTTCTGGGTTCATCAAAGTTTCTTGTTGCTTGCACCTCCATTGGTTTAGCCTGCAAAGGCAGACAGAGGTGAGGAAAAGTAAAACAAAGATCTACTGAAAAATCATGCACTTCCAGCAGCATTTTAAGTAACAGATTCTTCATCCCCAGAGACGTTAAACGCTTCACATTGAGTTGCAGACCTCTGCAACCAATTTCGTGAGCTGGACGAAGCTCGGTCTGTCCGTGGGATTGCAGGACCAGCACTTCCTCATGACGCCGTACAGTTCTTTGGGGCAATCCGGCGGTTTCTCCAGGCGCTCACCCTCCCTCTCCACACGCCACAGAATCTGGATCGGAGAGAGTGAATGCCACAGACGCAGACTCTGAGTCACAGAGCATATCACAAACTCAAATTCCATCAGGGCGGGGACACACATTCCAAACACGCAGACAATCACGCTGACTGGCATACAAACACCAAAAGCATAACGTGAACGTTCGCGTGGAGCTGGCATGCTTGTACCTGTCTGCCTGACAGGCCGAACCAGGGCTCTTCACAGAAGCTGAACATCTCCCACATGGTGACACCGAACATCCACACGTCTGAGGAGTGGGAGAAGGTGCCTACACGGAGACTCTCTGGAGCGCACCTGCAAGAAAAACAGGTGGACGGACGTAATTAGTGAGAATGCTCAATATTATTTCCTCCTCGACCTATTTCCCCAACAAACCTCACCATGCAAACGGGATCCTTTTGTGTGCCGTCATCACATAGTGATCCATCTCTTGGCTCAGGCCTCTCATAAGGCCAAAGTCCCCGATCTTTACCATCTCTCTGGACGCCAGCAGGATGTTTCTCGCAGCCAAGTCTCTGTGGATGAATCTCCTCGTCTCCAGGTAGTCCATACCTGCCACGATCTGGGACGCGAAGAGCCAGAGGCGTATCAGCGGGTACTCGTACTGACGCGAGCGCAGGACGTCGTACATTGAGCCCAAGGGAGCCAGCTCTGTTACCTAGAGGAATGGAAAATAGGTCATTGTGTATTCAAGCTCCCGAACACACCTTAGTTTGAATGAATCCACATTTTATCTCCATGTTTAAATATCTTACCATCTTGAGGGGCTGTGTGAGCACCACGCCATAAAGTTGGATGATGTTGGGGTGGTCCAGTGACTGCATGGTGGTCACCTCTTGGAGGAAGTCTGTCAGTGTGTCCGTCTGCCGGGACATGTTGCTCCTCAGTGACTTTACTGCTACAGGCAACTGAGAGGAGTGAAAAGAGAAAGGCTCAATCCCAATCCTGCCTCTAAACCCCCAGCATCTGTTTTTCATACGGAGACTACGCCATGTTGAGAATCCCAAACCCTTTCCTTGATGAGAATCCCAAACCCTTTCCTTGATGATTGGTGGCTAGTAGAGGAAAGTTGTAATGTGAATTTGCACATGACTTTAAACCTACAAGAAGTGTTGACTGTTTCTCCTTTTAGCTCCTTTTTTGGTCTCCGCCACCTCTTCAGGTAAATCTCTGGCTTTTTATCTGCGAAACGCTCCACTGTGTTCACCAGCTAGTTTTATAAAGCATCATTCATCAAGAAATGCCAAAAACATGCAAAAAGAAATTCTACAAATCTGTCCCTTACCACTCTGCCGGTGGGCGTGTGCCACTCTCCCCTCTTCACCACCCCAAAGGACCCAGAGCCCAGCTTCTCTCCCAGAATCAGCTCACTGTCGTGGATCAGAATTGGAAGAGCCCGGCTACCGCCCTCCTGACCCTGAGCCGGGGCGCCTCCGCTCCACTGCTCCCCTCCATCCCGATCACGACCACTGGCCACCTTTGTGCATCAATGAATGAATAAAAGTGATTTATTACTGATTACATTTAGCTCTCACACAACAGGCATGAACTTTACAACAACTTTGATACACTACATGTGTCAGACCTTGGGCATCCATGACTGTGCTCGGGAATTTGTCTTGTAGCGTTTCAGGGCATCCCATAATCTTCTTTGTGCTGGCAGGAGAAAAAAAATAATGTAATTATATCCAACACGACAAATCTGTTTGATTTCAAAACAGCCTGTAGATAGAAAGTAAATAGTATTTTTTTATATATATGTAGTAAACAACAATCTCCACACTAACAAATGGTGTTCGTGAACGAAATTCTTTTCATGGTTTGTAGTATTTCTGCATCAAACAGGATGTTGGAGCAGGTGTAGCCTCATAAAAACAGCTGATATGCATATTCAATTAATCAACTTATTGATTAACAGAAAATTAATTTGATAACAGAGATGTAATCTTGAGCTCTGGAAATTTGTGATGGATGATTTTCACTATTTTCTGTCATTTTATAGACTAAAAAAAAAAAATAACATTTGTAAAAAAATAATCAACAAATAAATTGCTGCTCTACTTCATATTGAAGTTGAAAAGAGGCAGGACTGGAATTGAAAGAGGGGAGTGAAGTTGCTGTTAGTCTACCTGATTGACTCGTAAACACATTACATCTCGCTTGATCTGCTCTGTGGTTTTTACTGTCTTTTGTCTGGTAGAGCTGCAAGGATTGGACGATTAATTCATTTTGAAAAGGAGAAAAGAGCAACACACCAAGACCATAGAAAAGTAATTTCTCATTTTCATAGCAGCTCTAAATCTAAACTATATATCCTCAAAATGGCATTGCTTTGATGAAACAAAGTGAATCACTTTACGCTGAGCATTTGATGACAAGAGATGTGGCTGAAAGGTTCAGAATAAACAAGTAAGTGGACATTGTGGTATGATTGTATTTTGTCCAACATTATTTTTAGGACCATTAATACTGTAAATCCAAAGAACAAAGACAAACACTCTACTGTGGGTAAACAGAAAACAATGCTTTTGTACCAGAAGTAATTCAAACTGTAGTTATTCGTCTTGAACCAACCATCAGTTACTGAGCTTGTCTGATAAGACAGACACTGTATTGGTTTGTACACGGCGAGGATGACCAAAGGAGACGATCTGGCTCACCAGGTTTGCTGATCCCTATTTGCTCCAGGTCGGAGTCCTTGACGTAGTTGAAGTGCTCAACGCGGCTGATGTTGAGGCCATCTCTGACGCGCAGGTAGAACTTCTCCAGCTGGACCTCGGCCAGGAGATGGTACAGCCACCGAGTGTCCTGGTCCATCAGCATCACCCGGCCGACCTGCCTTGAGGGTCAAAGTTGTGAGACATTTAGTGTATTTAGTGTTCAGTTTTACATCTAAATTCCTGACATTAAATCTTGTTAAAACACCACGACAAGAACAGAAATTTAGCGCTCAATCGCGTTTTCCAGTCTGGGAACCTAAAAGACACAAATACGAACCAGTGCTCTATCTGGGTCTTCCTCATCTCATTAAACAGCCTATTTAATGGTAACTTTGCTCCCACTTGGCCTTGTTATTAGATTACCAAGGAGACCTGACAAAAAGCCCTTGGTGTGGATTGTTCTGCTTTTAGCTGTGTGCCAACTTTTAAGAGGGAATCTCTTACTGGCAAAGTATTTACTCTCTGCTGATCACATTTACTATCCTGCATCTTTTTATAACCAAGAGAACGTGAAAGTAGTGTCATTTGAAGGCAGTTCTCTACCCGAAAGAGAGTAAAATCACATAAGGAAGAGGAACAGACATAAAAGATCCTCAGGAGCGTGAACAAGTGGATTCAGTATCAGTGAATCACAGTGAGTGTTCACTGCGTTGTGATTCATTTTGAACCTCAGAGGCAACAATCCTGCAGGGAATGTGAAAAACAGAGCGCTGGAGACCTAACCTGTGTGTGGTTTCGGGGCACCAGTCGGACTGGATCCTGTTCACAAAATACTAATGTAACTGCTGAAGTTGTGCTGTGTGTTGACAGCAGTATGACAGCTTCTGAACGGCTGATTGGAGCTTCATTTTCTCTTTAAACTTAACTATCTTTTATATTTCCGTTTCTTTAACATCTTTGACATCTAAGCAATTGCAGTATCCAGAGTCAGAGGCGCAATAATCAGGATAATAAAGTTTTCTTAACTTCCTTATTGCTTTAAAAACGAAAAGTTAAAACACAGCGAGTTCTTCTTTGGTTAACTCTTCTTTGTTACTATGGGGTTGTGCAGTCAATAAATACCTCTGCTTATCAGCCCAGCAGGTATGAGTCAGGGAAGAACTTCTACATTCTCCCGTCAGCTACCATAGGAAAAATGAACATCTACGCTAAACTAGCAGAGCCACAATGCCAGCAATCACACTTGGCTCTTTCTCGCAGCCAACCGATGCTTCAAAAACCAGACAAGTGCAAGAGGGCACTAGCCTGGGCTTGCATTAATTTCCAGGGACAACACCCAATTATTTGCATCCAACTTGAATGAACATGAGGCAAATCGTCTGCAGGTCACACTCAACTCCAAAAGGAAAAGATGCACATTGGTCAACAAAGAGAACCTCTGTGATCGGTCTCTTTATGTACAGAGTGATCAATGTTTAACCTGTCCAGCTACTGAAGACCCCTCTCAGCCTAAAGGCATGTGTTAAATGTGCAACTATTTAGTTAATAGCTTAATACGGCTGAACAGTAACTAGTTGAACTGGCCTGACTTTTATCTCACAGGGCATTATCTGCAACTTCAAATGGCCAACAGCATTGTTTATCCAGCACAACTGCACTTCTGTTGTTGAGCATTTCTTTACACTGGTGACACACGCTGCCTCTGGCTGAGCCCAAGAAGAAAGCAAGATCAACCCCTCATCCATCAGTGACAGAGCAGCTCTAACAAAGCTTTATTAGAAGAAAAAAAGTCACCGCTTTAATATTAGATTACACTATTATTCTGATCTGTTATCAAAGAAGTGAAGACCATGCCTTTAATAAATGACATCTAGACGCTGTGTGTGTTTTTGTGCAGACTGTGTTATTGGATTGGTGTCAGTGATGTATTACTGTGCAAGTAGGATTTTCATGTTGTAGCTGGTGGATGTGATTAATGATGGTAGTTTAATCCATAATAATGCAACAGATTTTATTAAACTGTCACATTAATGTAGGAAGTAAAAAGTACAATATTTCCCTCTGATATGTAGTTAAGTAGAATAAAGTAGTATGCAATTTAACTTCAAGTAAAGTACCATACAATTGTAATTAAGTTCATTAGCATACTTAAGTAGATGTAGGCTTAATTCTTGTATTCCCTTCACTTGTAAATACACACAATAGCTTCATTTGGGATAACTTCGATTAATAATTCATTCTCAACTCATCTTTAAAAGGACCGTTGATATAAAAAGGCCTTTATGTCGATGCTTTTAGAAATGCATTTGCTCATTTTTTCACTAACAACTCTTTGAAACCCGATATGTTCATAAACTTTCTGACTTTTTATTTTTTATTTTTAACGTATTTCCCCGTCCCTATAAACCCGGTCACAGAGAGATAAAAACTGATGCAACATCTTAAACTTACCGTCAATCAAAAATAATAAAAAGTAATCCGGTTGTTGACGGCTATATTTCGTAATCGAACACGCACCGAGACAATTGATCCATGTTTGCATTGAAACCTCCGGTAAAGTAGACCGAGGACTTTTCCCACAAATCGCAGCTCTTCTTTGAATCCTAAACCACCTTCAAATAATTCACCATCTGATCAATTCCGTCAGGTTATCTCAAAGATGTTTGTTTTTTTACATTATATGTTTCTATGAGTCTGCGTTCTCCCTGCGTGTGTTCCGCTTCTTTCTCCGCCTCTTTCCAGTCTCCCTCCTGACCACACCTCTTCCCGGCTTTTCATACCTGAACTTTCAGCACAGCACAAATCTCCAGCCAATATGAAAGCAGCTGCACAGGTAATAACGTTGGTGACATAGGTCACGAGCACAGAGCAGTAATGTGACCTCACCAATACCATAACCGTGTGGCAATCTGGTTTAACCTGACAGTGAAGGTAAACACACATTGTTTGCAATATTTTTAAAATTTCACTCAGGATAGAATCAAGTGTATTTAAGTTATAGTTGATGAATTGCCTGTTTTTTGAGTACACAAAATGTACCAAATTCAAATAAATGCTAGGTTTCTGTGTCAGGCCTACCTAATAAAGTTAGCTTTAATCTTAACATTGGTGGCAACAAGTGTATAGCCTGATGTTTCGTCTTTATTTGAAACTTTTTTCCTCGTAAATTCACCTTTTTGATCATTGTGCAGGCTTTTTGCGATGCTGAATTGATATTGTTTTACCCTGTACATCAACGAGTAAGCTCCTCAGTAAGATGCAATAAAATTCAACACACCCACAACGTCAGCGTCTAACATGACCATAAAGTTGAATCGACTCATCTGTAAAACAGTTTCAACATAAAGTGAACATTGACCTCCATGAGGATTCACTGCAGGCCCGCTGCATTGGACTCCATTCGTTTTAGCGAGGATCATAGGCCTAATGAAAGGGGAATTTGAATAGAAAGTTAATTATCCAATGACTTCACAGCTTAGTTTGTTATATGTCGTGTTGTTTCCATTAATTGATCAGAAATCATCAACTTCTTTTTAACATGGTACGATGACTAACTATGAGTTAGTAAAATGTCCAATTAGTCATGTTGAAGTTCAAATTATTTCTATAAATAAGCTAAACATGATTAACTCTCTCCGTTGGCCGTGGTTCATTTTGTTGTTAGGACTCAACAGAAACTTGCCATGAGTCAAATAAAGAAACTCAAATGTTCTTTTTCTCTCCCACCTGCTGCTGCCAAGCAAGTTTGACAGGATTTTTCTTGCCTCCCACATGGCTGTTAATTTGAATAAAAACCAGGCAGCACTGTGGACGACCTGCCTGCACTTTGCACTTCACGGTACAGTATATCTCCCCTTGTCGCTCCTCCCTGCCTGCCTTCCTGAATTACTCGAAACACACAAAAGTTCTCTGCCATTCAAAGGACCCTGCAAACAGCAGCTTTACGCCTCTTTCATGCACTTCCAACTGAACTAGATTAAGATACAGATGAAAGGTTGGTTAATGATTGAGAGTGAGCTATTGCAGGAACACATTTGAGTTTTCAATGAGTAGTTTACGGAAGTTTTTTTTCATAATGATTCAACCAGGAGCTTAACAAACAATACAAAAAATGACTAGGGGATGAATTAGTAAATCAAACCAAACAGGTATTTAGACAAAAGCCTGTAATTTCCAGGATTTGATGAGTCTACAAGTAATGTGTGGGCCGGATGTTTACACTTCTTCTGTTGTCTTAAATCTTTGAGGCTGAAGTTCCTCAGTGTCAGCTTACAGTGTGGGACGCTCTCCATCTTGTTTCTTGTTTCTGAGAAAAAAGGCTAGAGGTGAGGAGACGTGGCCCATGAATCACTGCTGGAAAAATTCAGTGTTAGTTGTTTGAATTGAGCATAGTGAAATATGATAGTGTGAACAGTTTTCTTGCTCATAGGTTTATATGTATGATATCGATACACTATGAAACAACGCTGTCAAAGAAATGAGATACATGACGTATGACAGAGGAACAAAGAGTGAACAATTATCAGGCAAGTTGATTCATCTGGTTGCATTATTTGCCAAAAAGGTTGAGAGTCACATATCACGGAATGTGAAAGGAGATAACTCGACAAGTGGGTTTAATATTAACATAAACGTTTACACTAAGAATGATGTGGATTTAAAGTAGTTTAGATAACCCTTTAGACTTCACTGGTGAGTTTATCATTAAGCACATGCTGTTCAAACCCACACAACATCATTCTATATTCTGGTGGAGATCAAATATGTCAGACTGAATTTTCTTGAAATCTGTATGAAATGAATAATGCACAGGCATCAGAATATGCAAATTTGTATGGGATTATACAGCTATTAAAAACAAAAAAACTGAAAGTTTATAGGCTAGAATAAATTATTGATCTCCTGAAGGGAAGTACAAGGGTAAGAATAAACAGGACTCAGGTACGTAGAAAAAATGCAACAGATGTAGTGCATGCAAAACCAATAGTACACTTTCCAGATCAAAGTGATATAGTAGATATACATTAGGTACATGCTTTTATACATTTTCATTTGTGTGTACTATTTATGTATACGAAATATTATTCATGCATAATGTACAAATAATGTGAAATAATGTATAGGGGATGTTCTTAAACCTGAATTTACATGAGTGATGCTGTATCCTAAAAAAAATAATGATAATCATGATCACAATAGTAATAACCAGGTAATGGTGTTGGGAATTGGTTTGTTAATTGGTTGAAAAAACCGTAAAGATTAGTCGTAAAAAAATCTGTTATTTTCTGAAAGGATCACTATTATTATGATTAAATGCAGACAAAGAGAAACATCGCCCTCTACTGTATACAAACCGACACTAGTCGCTTTTTGAAACGTCATCATTTTGCGACAACATTTTTCTTCTTTTTTATATTTTCATAGGCTAATGATGACAATAAAGCTTCACATTTGTGTATTGTATAGGTCGGTAAATTCTAAGAATTAATTTTTCGAGCAAGTTTTATCTTAAAGTACTAATTTTCTATAATATAAAATATATAAAGTAAAAAGAAACCGGAAGTCCACTCTCCGTTTGTAAACACATGGCTTGTAGTCGTGTCTGATGCTCAATTATGCCAAAACTCTTCGATATAAAGTTTCCAGGAGACTGTAAGACTCTTCCAGAAGGCTTTTGGTCAGCTGTAGACGTGTGGATAAATAAACCTCACGTTGTAAACAAGCGTCTTTGCGGAATTAAGGAGACGGAGAGTAAAGATGTGGGCAGAGAGGCTCTGCTGTTCCTGCTGGATGATCCTGAACTCACTCCTGATGTGCTCTCCTTCATAACCAGCACGGTTTCACCGGCACAGACGCACGAAAAGGAAAACCCCTGGTCTTCTAGTGTCAGAACAGTCATTCCTAAAGTAAACAGTTATGGGACAAACCTGCAAAAAGAGGTCATACTCAAAGGTAAGACTGCAGTTGAATGAAAGGCTCAACCAAACTCTGTTCTATTATTACAACTTTTAAAAATGTCTTTGTCTGTTTTAAGACTTTGGCAGACAACTAGTGACCTTTCTTCCATTTGAAGAGGACTCAGAAGGACAGGTGTCTCTAAAGAGGGGCAACATTTATCAGTTCCAGCTCCTCCATCAGGACTGTGAGGAATGGTGAGTGGCTGAATGATGAGCACGATCTGTCCAACTACGGTGGCCTGGAGGTAAACATGACTGCATCAAGGTCTCAGAAATACTGACAATATAACATGTCGAAACTTATTTTTAATACCTTAATGTTAATGAAAATAGCATTGGGATGCTTTCCGAAATTATTTTCCTTTTTGTTTGGTTTATTGTCAACATTATAATACAACAGTGTTTGATTAATTCCATTGTTGTTTTTGACAGTCCACCAGCATTAAACAAGATGCAGAAAGGCATTTAGTGTCTGATATGAACTGTTAAATAGGAACTAAAAAACTAGAAAATTCAATCAGCCTTCATTGTTAATTTCACTTAGAACAAGCTGATTAGTTCAAAGAAGAGACGTTAGCTGCTGGATGTTCAGTAACTCCCCATTCTTCCCACTCTCTATGGGGTCCACATGTGCACATACATGTAGAACTATGCAGGATTACATCACAAAACGTAACTACTGTAGATCTTAACATTTCATTTGGACACAGGGACTTCTGAAGACAGGCCTTTAAAGTTAGGTAATTAAGCAGGACCCACATTACGGCCCTTATCTTTAAATTAGCTTCCACGTCATACATTTTCTTTGTGATTTTAAAATTAGAATTTGTGAATTGGAATGATTAAAAAATCTAGATGATTCTGCCGTCATCCTCAGGGTCCTGGAGCTGCATGTTTTGGCTTCAGACGCGTGGTTCTCTGATGGCGTGGCCTACCCAAAGCTGCCCTGGCTGTCCACTGACCTGCTGCCTAAACTGGTGCGCTGGGCCACCGAGTGCAAGACCAGTGAGTTCAAGAGCACCTTGTCCCTGCTGCCGGTGGAGAAGTACAGCGTCATGTACCAGCAGCTGAAGGAGAAGTACAAGGCCATGGTCAAGGTACAGTACACTGTTATTTTATACATGTAACCTGTTTTAATGCTGTTAATATTTATAGATCTTTATTACGGAGTACTGACGTTTATTTTCCCACGCGCTCTAGATTTGGCCTGAGGTTACAGATCCTGAGAAATTTGTCTACGAGGATGTCGCCATTGCTACATATCTCATTGTGAGTTTGTTTTGCTGTCAAAATAAATGATTTATCAATGCTACATGAAAGGTTGATGTGTGAATTGAAGGATAGCCCTCACTTCTTGTATGTTTTGCTTACTTTAAATGTGTATAGCCACTGCCACGTATATACGTCGATACTGCACATATTCGTGTAGGTGAAACGTATCTGTCACATGTTGTCAGGCCAAGTAACCAAAGCTGGGTCAACCAATTTGAGTGTGAAACATGGCTCGGACCCAGTAAATTGATTCACATGTCATGCCAGAGGCAGGTGAGAGGGCGTCTGCAGCAGCTGCAGGTGTCGCGCTGCCGCTGATCAAAGGCTCTCATCAACATATGGTAGTGTTGAGTCTCTGTCACTGTTCCCCAGGTGCTGTGGGCCGAGGAGCGAGCAGAGAAAAGTCTGACCGCCAAACAGTCCTTTGTGGACCTGGGCTGTGGAAACGGCCTCCTGGTCCACATACTGGCCAGTGAAGGGGTAAGCTGGGTGTTATGTGTGTGATGT